TTTTTCGAAGAAATGAGAGATCTCCTTTATGTCTTTCTAGGAAATGAGCTAGCTTCTCTCTATCGTAATCGAAGTGGGAGAGCCCTCCGCTCCCCCTTCACTATCTTGTCATCGGAAATGGAAAAATGGAAATGAATACGCTTTAATGCATAAGGAGAAAAGAGCTCCTGATCTCTCTCCTATAATGGGACATGAAAGACCCCCTGATTTTTTCAATGAAAGATCTCTATCTTTCGAAGAAATGAGAGATCTCTTCTGTCTTTTTTAAGAAACACTTTATCAAGTAGGAGAAAGGCTCTGTCATAAGGGTACACTAGGAGCTCTGTCAATTCTTCAACAACAAGAAGGAGAGTTCCTCTATCTCTGATTATGAATAAGAGACGAAAGAACTCCTCTATGTGTTCATAGGAAATGAAAGAATTCCTGTTGAAGATAGACAAGTGACAAGTTGTCCTTTGTGTTGGCGAGGTGGAAGAGCTCTTTAGCAATAGGCAGGTAGAGGATTCTCTCATTGCCTGCAGAGAGCGAGACAGAGAGAGAGAGAGAGACGGACACTTTTAATAACCTATTTCGAAATAAAGAGCTCTTTCATGTAAAAGACACGAAGTGGTAGAGCTGTGAGCTCTTCTACCTAGTAACGGGAAATGAGCAGGACAGGACATGAGAGAGCCCTTGTCTTTTTTTATGAATGTAGAGCTCCTGAATTTGGAAAAAGAGGGCGAGAGGGGAGCCCTTTCATGACCTATTTTGAGACAGAGGAGATAAAAGGGCTTGCTCATCGCGCATTGAGAAGTGGAGGAGCTCATTCAGGAGAGGCAAGGGCACTCCGTCACTGCTTACACAGCAATAAAAGAAGTTTCACATGGCATATTAAAAGACAGCAAAACTCTCTCACGTAAACGACAGGGACGTATGAGTTACGTCATGTCCCATTCAATGGATAGAAGCAAGCCTTCCACAACAATTGGACAATAAAGGAGAGATCTTTCGCAAAAAGGTAGAAGAGCTTTGTCATTTCCCATGAGAAGATAAACGGCTTCTCTCATGACCTGACAAGCATTTCGTGCAAAAAAAAGGTAGGAAAGGACTCTCTTGATCTATTGCGAGATAGAGAAGCTCTTTCACGTCAACCCAAAAATTTGAAAACTCCTCTACCTATTGACGAGAAAGGAAAAGATAGGACAGAGAGCTCTCATGTATTTGTTGAATGCGTCGTTCTATCTCTGAGTAGGCCTTCTCATAGGAAATGCAAGAATTCCTCTGGAGGAAACGAAAACACTCTTTGATAAACAGAATGGAAAAGAATCGATGTCGTCTATCTTCTTCTGCATGGCGAGAGAGTGAGACATGGGACATGCAAAGGCTCCTCTATTTTTCTGGAAGTGAAATAGCTTGCGCTCTCTCCTGAGTGAAAGATCTTTCTCTTGAAGGAATGAGAGATCTCCTTCATGTCTTTCTAAGAAACGGGCTGGCTCCTTTCTCTCGTGATCGGAAATGGGAGAGCCCTCGGCTCCCATCTCCTCTATCTTCTCACGGGACATGGAAGAATGAAAACGAAAAGATAGGGCATGACAGAGCTCTCTTATGTATTTTTAAAATGCAACCTTCTATCTCTGAGTAGGAAGATGAGAGAGCTCCTCTATCTATTGGTAGGAAACGAAAGATCTCCTTTGTAGGAAATGGAAAGACCTTCGATAAAAAGAATGGAACAGAATCGATGTCGTCTATCTTCTTATGCATGGTGAGAGCGTGACAGATGGAACGTGCGAGGGTTCTTCCATTTTTCTGGGTGTGAAATAGCTTGCGCTCAGTCCCGAGTGAAAGATCTCTCTCTCTCTCTCTCTCTGTCTCGAAAAAATGAGACAGAGCCTGTCTGTGATGGTTCGTGTTGGGTAGAAAGGAAATGGCCAAATAGACCCTAAAGGTCTCGGCCACATATATATATATATATATGCTTGCATGTGAACCGAGGACATGGATGGGGACATGGATGGTACCAGCAGGGAGACGGAGGATATGGAGACGGAGGACATGGTTTCTAGGCTTGGTTTTTAAACCCATTCTTCCGGGAATTGTTTGTCCTTAAGCCCTTAATTTAAACCTTGAACCGTAAAACCTAAACTACAAACCCAAAAGCCTGCTATGCCTAAACTCCGGAACCTTTAGTTCTACTTATCTGATATGGATACTGAATACACATAGCCAAACCAAACCGAGGATGGTCAGGATGGCAGAACGCTGGGACCGGTGGATCCACAGGAGATGGTTTCTAGGCATGGCTTTAATCTCATAACCTAATCTTGTGGAAGGGTTTGTCCTTAAACCCTAGTAGCCCTGAAGCCTAAAACACAAACCCGAAACACAATTCTAGAACCCATACTTCTACTTATCTGAAAACAACCTGAGGCATACCCAGAACACTCAGCCAAGGACAGGGTGCCACAGGCAACGGTGGAGATGGAGGAAAAGGATCCTAGGACTCATGGACTCTAGGATTGAAGCTTTTTGATTATACACATAATTCTAGTGCTTAAACCAACCTTGTGCACACCCAGAGCACTCAGCCGAGGAAAGGGTGCCAAAGGCCAGGGACCTGGAAAAGGAGCCTTGGTTTGAAGTGAACATTTGGTTTGTTTTAGGTACTGTGTGTGGTAAAGCCCCAAGCCCAAAACTAACACGCAGTAGGCTTGAAGTGAGCCTTTTTTGCTTTTGTGTCTTGTCTTGCTGGAACCCCATGCCCAAAACCCGAAACCGCTGAACCCCATCCCAGGTGACGATCGCACTGGAGGACTCCAGTGACAACAAAATTGTAGCCTGGAAATATTTGTTGATTGGTTGGAAAGTCCAGACAGACAGTGGGTTGGAAAGCCCTGACAGTGGGTTGGAAAGCCCTGACAGTGGGTTGGAAAGCCCGGACAATACAATAGGAGAACATGAAAATCTCCAGGAACGAGGATCGTCGACGGTGAGGAGGGCCTGTCGCCCCGCACCGTGCAGGCCATCAACCGGGAGCATCCGAGAGATTTCCTTTACCAGTGCCGGCAATGTGGAATGTACACGTACATAGGCAGACAGTCCTTCCTCCGAAGCGAGGACAGCCAGGGTTGTGTCGACAGTGGATGTGGGTCGTTTCGTGGCCGGTCGAAAACAAAGGGAATCTACCGGATGTTGCACCGGAATGGAGTGACACCCGAAAGTTTGGGTTTGGTACCATAGGAAGTTTGGGTTTGGTTGATATAGGACTGGTAACCACTAGGACTCCTACGAACAACTGCTATTCGGACATCTACTGCTACTGCAACTACTACTACTACTACTGCTGCTGCTACTACTACTACTACTACTAGTACTAGTAAAGCCCCTTGGCTCCGCCAGGTTGAGAAAGAGAGATGTTGTCGGAACAGCGGGACCCTGCCACCCCCAACAGTAACGGGTGCACTAGAAGGTCTGAGTGCCTCAACCTCAACACGGCTGTAGGCTGCATGATGGCTGCGCTTCTTGCCTGTCTGTTCCCACTTGCCCCACCATGGCAACAGGGCTCAAACTTTGTGCTACAGAGTCCCAACTGGACAGCCTCCAGTCCGTGTGCTTGGTCCGGCACTCAGCATCTGCAGCTCCCCTTACCCTTGTGGCCAGTTGCTAGGTGCACTTCAGAGCAGCTGTTTCCGAGCGCCGCCTTCTGTGCTCAAGCCTTGCTGTCGCATAGCCCGCTCAGCCCAGGATGTCCCCCAAGGAAGCACGGAGAGGCAACCCATCGAGGTCGCGATCTGGAAGACCCAAGGCCAAAGCAACGGTGGCTCCGGAGTCCTCTTCATCTGATAGCCCACCGAGCCCACCGAGCTCAGGCGAGGAGGCCACCGCTCCACCAGCTGCTACCACAAGTGCTCCAGCAGGACCTCCTCCTCCAGTGCCGGTCAACAGGCCACGAGGAAGCGTTGGATGTGCCAAAAGTAAGCCCGCGGGGCCGCCCCCGCCGACTCCAGCATCCTGCACGTCTCTTCCGACAACACCGGTGCAGGCCTTCGCTGCCATGGCTCCAGGAGGTTTACCAGCGGGTGCTCCACCAAGCACAGGGCCTATCACTGTCGCAATGGGAGCTGTTCCTACGCTTCCATCGCCTACTACGACCTTGCTGCCCCCTCCGACTGCACCCCCAGCACCGAGTGTCAATGCAGCAGAGGGAGTTTCGGGCACACCAGCTGGACCTGTGCAACAGCAGCCAGCCACTATCACTACCAAAGTGGCGGGCTGGACTTTCACGCTTACGGTTAGGCCACCGAGCTGAGCCACGAGACAACAGGTTCTATGGTGGCCAGGCACGAGCTTTCTGCAGAGCTTGCACTACAGGTGCACCTGACAGCTGTCAGCTCTCTGCCGTCTCTTCCTGTATGCAGCCTTGTTGTTTTGTGCCCAGCTGCCTCTCGAGTGGGACTCACAAAAGACGTGCTGTCTCTGTCAGCGCACTTGTACTGACACCACTTCGGAGCCAACTGTCACTGCTATCTTGGACTATCCTTTATGCTGACTGCACTGCCCAGGCCGACCTCATGGCAGACTCCGATGACTTCGCGAAGGCTCCAGGTCAGCGGTGCCCTCCATCTGCACTTGGCATACCTTTGTCGAACGCTGCTCGCCACAGGTCTCAGGTCCCTCGAGACGTCCACTTTGGTGCTCTCCCTGCCCACTACGGGGCTTGGATCTCAGTCCTGCAGCTGCAATCCGTGACCAGCCAACATGAGACTCTGCCGTGCTCTTGCATGCATTCTGCAGCCCCACCATGTGGTTATCGCGTGTGCCTGCAGCTTTCCACAAACCAAGCCACATTGATGACTTTGGTAGAGCATGTGGTCCTACAGTTGACTGCCACTACTTCTGACCACCTTGCTTCCCTTAGGGCTGGGAGACCTCTCGCCGAATACTTGCAGGTATCATCCCCTCAACTTCTTAAGTCAAGGGACTATCCTGTCTTAACGAGCCCCACCTGTGCCCTTCGAGGGATCATGGAGCCTGCCTCCGAGCCTGACCGGCCACAGTGGCAGGCAGCACTCGTCCCGCTTACAGTGGGGACCGAAGTGGAGGTGATCGACGGTCACAGACGTCATCTCGTCGGTCGCCGAGGGATTGTGCTCCCTACCTTGGAGTGTGACCGCAACACTACGCGGAATGTGCGGATCATACAAGGCCCTCGGGATGAACAACGTCGTATTTTTACAATCGACAAGGAGCACCTCGCTCCCCGACTGGGGTTGGAAGCCACACAAGCTTCCATGTGTGATGGAATGGAGCCGAGTCTGAGGTGGAGATGTGCTCCCCCACCATTAACCATTTACAGCGCCCGATACCTCCTCGGCTATCAGGCCCTGGAGACCATGGTGCCTCCGGCGGCACCCAAACGGAATCCAGCTGGCCACTATATCCATCCCCCGGTGGACGATGCTACGCTTGAGGCACCCTGGGAAAAACACGTTGACCAAGCTAGCGATCGGCCCTACTACTATCACCCGGGGACAAAGCAGGTGACCTGGCGCAAACCTCGGCCTGCCCTGGTTCTTCCGAGGGAAGAGGAGACTGGGCCCACCAAGCCCAGGCGAGGCAAGACTGCGATACCACAACCTCGTACTCCTAGTCCGCCTCCTCCCAAGAGGATGCGAAAGCATCCCACCAGCGATGCTCAGCAGAACACCACGAGCTCTACGACCCAGTCGTCAGCTTCTGCCACAGCTACAGGGACACCTACTACAGAGAGGAAGCCCGCTCCGGCCTTTGATCCTCAATCTTCTGGTGGCCCTTCTGAATGGAACCTGGCCGATCATGCTTTACCTGCCTCTCCAGATCGGGTACTGATCTGGGGGACCAAGGCCAGGACACAGCTGCCCCAACCGCCGAGTGCTCCTGCTTGTACCCTGGATGTGGAAAGGTTTCTGCAGAGCTTCTTCAGGACACGGCAAGGCCCCACTGGCACACCTCTTGCCACCCTACTTGGGGACCCAGTCCCGCAACCTGATGGTTGGTGGAGGCTCCCGTGGACACCACTGGATCCATCGCACTGCGAGCTGCTGTGTCAGGATGGCTGGCTAAGGGGCTGGCACGGATGTAAGATGGAGGCACTATACTCCATCATCTACCATGGCCAACTTCTCCCGAGCACTGACGAGTCGAAAGGCGACAGATTCCTGGCAGGCTGTCCAGGGGTGTATCTGCACCGCGACAGCCTGCAACACAAGGTGGAGAACTACATGCGATGGATACCACTATGTGGAGATGGTCTCTTTTGGGCTGCCAAGTGGGAGGTGGTGTATGCTCCCTCGGGGAGCAACAAACATGGCAAGCGTACTGATCAGGTTATACAAAGTGCTGAGTCGGTGGAGCTGGTGGCCCTCTGGCTCTCAGTGCGCTCCGAGAACATGCTGCCTGAGGGAACTGCTGTGCAGGCCACATGGACGCCCGCCCGTGAGGCCAACCCTTGCCTCACAGAGTCCAAGCGACGAAGCAGTGCTTTGATACAGGCTGTGGACTTCGCGGCACTTTCTGCCTCCTCCAGACCTTTGCCCAGCTCCAGTTCGCGGTCTGACCCGGCGATCGACGACAAAGGCCGACTCAAGCCGACACCCAAAGCACGTGGTCGCCTGCCACACATCCCTTCTGAACTAGAGAAGGACTGCACACCTGCACAAGCGAAGCTCACCATACAGGCAGGAGATCTCGTCCTTCGATCGGCTACAGCACATAGCTCGGAGACTCCCAATGCTCCGACCACGGTTTCGGCTGCTACCTTGGCCGACCCATCAGATCCACCTCAACGAGGACCCAAACGGGTTCGATCTGATGCTTCCTCTCCGAAACCAAGGAGGATGCAGACACGGCCCAAGCCGAGACGATCGATTTGGTTTGATGTCACGGACAATCCGGCTGATCAACCACTTACGACCTCCTCCACTGCAGCCAAAGGCCGTGGCACTGGGATGACCAAAGCTGCGAGGCACCAAGAACGTGTCCGCAAGAAGATGGCCAAGAAAATGGAAGAAATCTTCCAGGCCAATAGAGCCGCTGGACTTCACTCGGACTCAGCGGCCTCATCCAGTGCAGCATACAAGGATCCAGCCTGCTGTTCATCATGTCCACGTCTGCATCGGCATAGCCAGTCTTGCCTGAAGACACACATGCCCCCCTCCCATCAATCGGGCAAGCTTCATGTCTTCGCTCCTCTCAGGTCTAGCCTACTGGCGGCTTCGTCAAACCAGGATGACACAGGCAGGGATCGCTTTACTGAGTGCTCGGAGTTGCAGACCTCTGCACCTAGGTTCGGGCAGCCACCTAGGTGGGTTCCCTGCTCACAAACCTTCGTTGCTCCTTCCACCAGTCACTGCCTGCAACACTTGGGGCCATCAGGCTTGTATCTTCCGACCTGCCGGATGCCCGACGGCACGCCCGACTCCTTGCAGGTCCCTTCGTTAATCTGCTGGGGGTTTGAAAGGCACCTGAGCTCTTTTCCATGTACCCATCCAGGCCTTGAACGTCCAGTGTGCACATCTACGACAATGCCAGTCGGGCTCACATGGCACTGCGGTGCCTCCCCACACCGTGCTCACTATCGCTGTGTCGTGCCTCGAGGTATGTCAGCTGCACTGGCAACAGGCCCTACTCTGTTGCATGCCTATTGCTCTCGTGATGATTGCTCCAGCCATTGCACCTGGCAGGGGTGGCCAGACGCTTTCCTGACTGACAGACCTGAACATTGCCTGGTGTGCCTTCGACACACCAGACCATCTGCTGCTGGACCTGCTTCGGTCCGATGCCCACCTCCACCACCAGGAGCTGGTCTGCAACCCGACGGGCTCTCAGATCTTGAGACTGTCGCCCCCAAGCAGCTGCTAACCCCATCTCGCGGTTCCCTTAGCCTGCCTTCAGGTCTGTCTTCGCCATTGGGCGCAGGCCAGTGGATCGAGCAGACATCACCTCGAGATATGTTCCTGTCCAATTTGTGCAGGACATCCCGGGCACGTGGCTGGCCTATCGTCTGGCGGACCCATGCTGTGAGTGGTGTCGGCTTGAATATCGTAGAAGCACCCCCTATGCCACCCGCATGCAACAAACTAGCACCTCGCAGACCAACAAGATCAGATCCCGTGAGTCTGTTTCTGCCGAGCCGTTGCAACCCAAGGTTTCCCCTCCGGCCCTGGATCTGCACACTATGGATTAGATGTGTAGACGATCTGCTGCACCGTCCTCCGAAGTCGATGCCAGCATTTTTGACAACATGGACAACTGGCATCCCGAAGTGCCTCTCTCATAATCTCAACATACCTGCCCTGAGCCACTCCGGTCCCAATTCCGGAGACCGACTTTTTCATACGGCTGACAACCTGTTATCTCTCAGACACCCGCTGGTTGTCCATCTAGCCTCCGAACAGTCGGTAGGGGCGAGGGTTGTGAGCGGCTGCCACCCGCTCACGAGACCGAAACTCACCTTCGTGGTGGGGGACGGGAAGCCGTGGCAGGAGCCCAATGAACTACACTCTGCGGTGAGGGCAGTCTTGCGAGACCCCCCACAAAACCACACTACTTGCTTTGACCTAGGAGTCACTCTAGGCATCGCCTGCTCTCCTAGCCTGACCTCCACTCCGTTTTCAGTCATCTGTTCATCGTGGGCTGGTCCGGGTGATCAGACTGCAGGCCCCTGTGGAGTGCCAAACAGCCTGGACAAGCTGCTGCTAGGATATGCTCCACTGCAGTCCAAGCCCCGGTACTTATTCCTCTACAAACAGGGTCTCCCTGTTCGCCTTGTTGCCATCCGGGCTCCAGCACTTCTACATCTTACCTCTCCTGGCCTTTCTCGCTCTCGGAGGCCTCTCCCTGGAGTACAAACACTCACACCTGCCACTCGACCAACCCACACTGCTGACAGGTCTTGCCCTCCGTCGACTACGCATTGCCCCAGCCAGACCCCGGGCACGACGCCGTACCCCAGGCAATGCCCTCGCCCCATCCTGTTCCTCTCGACTTTGTTTGCACTACCAAGGTCGATCTGGGGAGTGCCATCTGCACACCCCCTGCATCCTACAGTTGCACATCACTCAGCGACCCTCAATCAGGCTACCGTCCATTCAAATGCGTACACATTTGCCAGGAAGAGATCCTACAAACGTGCCCTACGTCGTGCTGCACAGGACGAGGCCCAGCATACGATTTATCGAGGTCGTGTCTGTACCCTGCAACAGCTCTGCAAGGGCTATCGGGGCCATCGACCCGCCCCTCAGGCTGAGCGTCGCATGCAGCAGGCCGCTCTGAAAGTCTCCCAGGGACGCCTGCTGTTCCTCTCATGGAATGCTGGAGGCTTGTCCCAGGCCCTGTGGCAGGAATTCTTGCTGACACTTGAAAACATGCCACCTGACGAACGACCCCAAATCGTGTGTGTACAAGAAACACATTGGACGGACAAGGTGGCGCCAACATTCCCCACTGCTACCTGGGATGTGTACACCTCCCCAACCACAGACAACAAATCTGCTGGGCTCCTGATTCTTCTCAATAAGAATACTACCCGCAACTGCAGAATTGTTTACGCCGACCCTCAACCGGGCAGGGTGCAACACTTGAGGATACTCCACGACAAATGGGCAGTTGATCTGCTGCACATCTATCAAAAGCCGCACAACTCTCATCCACTCGCACTGCAATCCTCGAAAACCATACGTTTAGCTGTCTGGGAGTGCATTGGCAAGATCCTGGCAGCTCTGCCTGCCCGAAACACAGTGATCATGCTTGGAGATTTTAATACTCAGATCAAGCCGTGTGCTGCAGCCGGCACCAGGATCTGTTCAGGCACCAGCACGAGCACACATCCGCCTGATCAGGCAAGGTTGCAGCACCTTGTTGAGGACTTCTCCCTCTTACACCTCAACTCATGGTGCAAGGCGGCTGGCCCTACATACCATCACAACAAAGGTGCTAGCCTTATTGATCATATCATCATGCGTTCCAGCCAAGCGGATGATCGTGCTAGGCAGGCGAGACCGCTCCGCCTGGGACTGGCTGCCTGGAGACTTGGTGGATATCACCTGCCACTGAAGGCCAGCATCCCGCTTCAGCGTTTCCACACTCTTAACAAACCGGTGGCACCACAACGGGCATGGGACCATTGGGGCCTGATTCAGGTTTGCCGCTCTACCTGGGATCCGAGAGTTCAAAGTCTACGCTCTGCTGTCCAGGCGTCCCTACCAGGGGTTCATGATCTTGGGCAATTGCATGAAACTCTGATCCACTGTGCCTCCCAATTCTTCCCGCCACCCGCAGGACAGCATCGACTGGCACTATGGCAAACACCGCCTATGCAGGATGGTATTCGCTCCATGTGGCAGGCCTACCGAGTCTGGAAGACAGCCAAAGCTCAAGCTCAGCATAATCCGCTCTATGTTTCCAGGTGCTACCATCACTTCAAGACGGCACACAAGGCCTTTCGTCGTGCCGGGAAAGAAGCCAAAAAGCACTGGTTCCATGGCAGGCTACAGGAACTCCAGACTGCTGCCAGTTCAGGCGACTCTCGCAAGCTATATGCTGGCATTCGTACCTTAGCTCCCAAATCCTCCAAGCCGAAGGTTCAACTGCGAGATTCTGGCGGACACCTGCAGGATCCCAAGACCCAGCTAAAACAGCTGGAAACGCACTATCGCAAATTGTATGCTGCGGACGAGGATGGCAGCATACAGGGCCCCCAGCGACAGCCCATTCACATTGAAGTCACGGAGGCCGAAATGACCCTGGCGCTTTCGCAATTGTCACCACATAAAGCTACACCTCCGAACTTAGCCACAAACTCTCTATGGAGGCTGACCTCGGACCTTGTTGCGCCTCTCTTGTGCCAATGGTGCCGGCAATGGCCTCAAATACCAGAGCTTTGGAGAAGCGCATGGTTGACTCTTGTTCCCAAGATTCCGCGACCACTTTCACCAAAGAATCTCAGACCTATAGGGTTAACTGAATCCAGTGGCCGTGCATATGCTTCCATACTGCAGGCGAAATTGCGCCCCTACGCCGAGAGATTCCTTGCAGACCAGGCACAATTTGCATATCTGCCGGGTCGCAATGCTGCCCAAGCCATACATCGGGTTGCTGCACACTGCAAATATGTTCAGGATCGCTGCTCGATTTCAACACCTACGGTTGTTGATCGTCACGCACAACAGCCGAAACCCTGCCCACACTTTGCAGGTGCACAACTATCGCTGGACCTGTCCAGTGCTTTTGACCTCATGGACTGGCGCCTGCTGGACAAGGCTTTACTAGCGTCCGATGTTCCGGCTGAGCTCAGACACCAAATCATGTCCTGGCACTCTGAAATCTCCTATGTCCTTACTCACCTTGGGCACACTGCCAAGGTGGAGGCCCAAAGAGGACTTAGACAAGGGTGTAAACTGGCTCCGTTGCTCTGGACACTCGCCCTAGCACAGATATATCGTGAGATCCTTGCTGAGGGGGACCCGCTTCTCACAGCACCTTGGCTAGAGCAATGCTCCACGATTTATGCTGATGATATACACCTCAAGGATACTGTGCAGAACACTCGTGAGCTGGACGACATGGTGTATCGCTTTAGTAAGATCCTCGATGCCCTTGCGGCCCATGGTATGGTCATCAACTCGGCCAAATCAGCATTGCTACTGAGACATAAGGGCAGTTTCATCCGAGGCTGGCTGCGCCGACACCTCATACCCAAACCCGAGGGGGACCTCCTACGTTTTCGCAGTCCACGGGGAACAGTGTATGAAATTCCATTGCGTGACCATCACACGTACTTAGGCATACGCATCTCCTACCACTCACAGGCCAAACAAGCAGTCACCTATCGGCTGCAGGCTGCGAACCAGGCCTGGCAAAGACTCCGTGGTGTACTGTGCTCCACCAGGCATCTCGCTCAGACGCATCGTCTCAGTCTATGGAAATCCACAGTGCTTCCCACGCTGCTCTATGGCATCGCAGCATCCAACCCAGGTGCCAAGGACATCCAGCGAATGCAGCACATGATGACCAAGCAGGTTCGAGCCATCACACGATCCTTTGCACATCTTCAGAAAGAATCCACACAGGACCTTCTACACAGATGCTCTTTGTCCACCATTTTGGAGCACCTACAGAGGGAAGCCGCTGCCTTGCATCGTAGCCTGACCCGCCTGAGCACTGAAACGAGCTTCGTGACCCAAGCCCAGGTGGAATCAGCTCGAGACACTGCCGCTACACTTCACCTCCAGGTGCAACGCCAATGGCAGGTCCCTCTTGGGGACACAGAAGGCATCACAGATCCTGCTGTACATCAGTGCCAGGAATGTCATCGGGTCTTTACCTCCTTTCGGCTCCTCCGCTCTCACGAGGCTAAGTGGCATGGCCTCAAAACACCTGCTGCTGTCTCGGTGCCTTTTGACAGGTATGCACATGGAACAGAAGGACTTCCAACGTGCAGACACTGTGCCCATCCCTTTCGACAATGGGATGGCCTCGTCAAGCACATTAAACGCAATCGGTGTCAGGTACTCCGTAGACTTGCCACACAACCTCCTGCTGCTGCCCCACCCTTGGCTCCGAGTTCTGATGACTCCGATCCTGTACTAGTCCCGGACCCGGCTACTCTGCCACCCCAGGATCTCTCTCCGGGGACCCACATCCTGTCAAACGATCAGGCTGCTATGCCCCCGCCTACTCCTGTCGATATACCTGAACCCCCTGTCTTGGATGCTCTCCTGCAGGATAGCTCCACTTCGCCGAGCCACGAGGCTGCTCCTCTCTATCAGCAATCTCATGTCCTTGAGACACTAAGTGCCCGCAGGTGGACTGACCTCCTTGTGAAACCGGAGACCTACTCGTATCTCCAGCACCACTGCCCGCTGTGTTACCAGTGGCTAGCCACCCCTACCAGCATCAAGTATCATCTCACCATGCAACATCCAGAGTGGAAAGAATGCCAACCTGCGACTCTCAAGCTTCTTACTGGTTTCCGCCGACATACTGTTGTACCATGTCGATACTGCCATCAGCGAAACATCAACAAAGATCGTCATTGGAAACAGTGTCATGTTTTGCATATTTGTGCCTTTCTAGCAGTGCACCATGACACTCTGCGCGGATCCCATGGAGCTGGACGAACAGGAGACGCAATTTTGGGCCCATGCCGGTCCGGTCAAACGGGAACAGGAACCACGACGAGATGTGATGCATCAAACCGAGCAATCCAAGAGGCAGCGTCTGGCTCCGCAGGACCGGAACAAAGGCAAGGGCAAGGGTACCAAGGGCAAAGGCAAGGGAAAGCAGGGCCTACCAAGTCCATCCAGTGCCAACCAGGTCACGGGCTACACAAATGGTTTCGGAAGCCATCCACCCAATCCCTGGTCACAGACTCAGGACCTGCAGCCACTGGGAAATCACGATCCAGACTGGATGGAGTACAGGATGAATCGACTATCCCAGCTGGTCCTTCGTCAGGAGCAAATCATCTCAGCCATCCGTCAGGATCTGGTCCTCTACCTCTTTGTACGATCAGGGCCAGAAGGGATGGTACCGGTTCTCTGCGAAGCAGCGGAGAAGTGGAGGAAGATGAAAGAGGAAGAACCCGAGAAGATTACTTACTCCCTCAAACTCATGCTCTTCAAGCAGCTGCTCATCACCTTACACCAGAGGTTGACCAACATGATTGCGGACGAGGATGCTCTCGCCAAAGCCAAGAACCTGAACTGGATCGACGATCAGAAACATTGGAAACATCTTACATGGAATCCTACCAAACAATGTCTGGAAGTCGACAACTCGGTGAGGCCAATACCGGCGGAAGATCTGTTGGCCCAACTGGTTCAGATGAGGAAGGCTGTTACGGAAGAGACCCTGGTGAGGTTCAAGTCCATGAGGAAGCTCACCACGGAGGTGACCTCCGACTGGATTCAATTCCAGATCTGCATGTCCCTTCGCCCAGAGGGAGGAGCCATGTGGAGCACGCTGAACCAGTGGATCGGACAAGCATCGTGGCACACCCTGGGCTGCAGGCTTCGCCGCGATCGGCCGAACTACGACACCCTGGTCCAGGAAGTGTGGCAACATCAGATGCCATACTGAGTGTGCGCCCTAGTCTCAAGGCTGTCCTTCGATTGATTTTCCACAATCCTTCAAACTTGTGCTACCTGCACTCTACGATCTATGCACTATTGTGGACAATCCTTCAGGCTAGGCTGCATGATGCCTACGTTTCGCCTCCACCGCAGGCTCTTACCATGTTGTGTCCACCAATCACTGCCACACCCAATTGCCCCATTCAGGTACTCCACTCGGTACCGTGGCTTATGCTGCTGCAAGCTTGGCCTTCTGTGCATCGTCAGCACGATGCAGCTGAACTGCTACAATACCTTCTACCCAGGTTCTCGCATAGTGGGTTCAATGGTGGCTGGGAGGCCCGAAACTTTGTACCTGGAGGTATTGCCACTCTTGACAAGGGGCCTACCCAAGCTCCCATTCCGATTGCGCTGCCGGTAGGTCCAAGTCTGGAGCTCCAAGCAGCCATTGATGGGTGGAGTGCTCAGGTTACAGCCCGCTATGCACTGCTGAATCCGTCTCCCATGCTCTGTATACAACTCCAACGCTTCACAAATGCCGAGGGAGTCATGCGCAGGGACACCAGACCACTGGTCGTGGCCTCGACTACAGTTCGTATGCCACTCTTTACAGGTCTGCACACTATGCAAGTTCGCTATGTTCACTACCAGGTTGTCGCTGTACAGCTTCACTACGGGGCCACTCCTGATATGGGGCATTACAGAACTATCCTACGAGGACAACCGCTGTTTGGAGCAGAAAAGTGGTGGATCACTGATGACTCCTGCATTGCAAAGCCAGTCAGTACAGAACACGATGACAACATATATATAGTGTGGCTACGTCAGGTACTACCTCCTGGTGCCTGACGCTGAGCAAGTGTAGTCTTAGTCGATGGAGCTGGCACTGCCCTCCAGAACCCAACAGAGGTTCCGATACCCCGAAAACCGGGTTATCGTCAGCTCGCTAGGCGAACCCGGACACTTCGCTGCGTGGTGAATGAATACTAGTACTAGTACTAGTACTAGTACAGCTACAGCAAACTTTCAGGTGTCACCTAGGAGAAACCCTTTTTCTTCCGCACGTGGTGGTTGGATAGCCACGCTGCAGACGCCGTGGGTCTTCCGTGTGGAGAAAATGAAGGCCGAAAGAGGGGTTGGAAAGCCCGGAGCCAAATGTATAACCCTGAGCCCATAAACCATTGAAGCCAATAATATATAAGTCCCGGCAAGTAAAACCCGATAGATTCTGACCCCCAAAGTGTACTCCACCACAAAAGGGTTGGCAAGCCCCGCTGGATTGACAGCATAAAGCCTGAACTCAATATGAGTAGCGGCAACTCAAACCCGAGAGGTGGACGCCCATTGAAAACCAAAAGGGTTGGAAAGCCCTTCAGGAACCCTATTACTTAGGAATCCCAATAATGTCAACTAAACTAGATACACTAGTAATGAAGTACATGAATCAAAAGTAATTGAAATAGTTAAAGTATTTGTATATGGAATAAATTAAATATTCAAAATACATTATGACATTTTGTAAAAGGAATTCAAAGACGCCACTTAAAATAGATACTGGGTACACTATTCATGAAGTATATGAATCAAAGTAATTGAAGTAGTTAAAGTATTTGTATGGAATATATCAAATACTTTAAATACATTATGACATGTTGTAAATGGAATTCAGTGACGTCACTTAAATTAGATACACTATTAATGAAGTACATGAGTGAATGTAATTGAAAAAGTTAAAGTATTTGTATGGAATAAATTAAATATATCCAATACATTGTGACATCATGTAAACGGAAAACATGTATAATAATCAAAAAACAAGAAAGCACACACACATACATATGAAGGAATATGAAGAACCATGAAGAGCAAAACCATAATATGAATTCACATGAAGAGCCATGAAGACCCATGAAGAGCCATGAAGACCCATGAAGAACCATGAAAAAACCCATGAAGTAATATGAAGGAATATGAATATATATGAAGTGGTATGAATTTAATGAATAAATTCAATAAGCTAATCAAAATAAATACATGAATTAAATTAAATAAATTGAATAAATAAATTAAATAAATTAAATAAATTGAATTAAATAAATTAAATTAAATAAATTAAATTAAATTAATTAAATAAATTAAATACATTAAATAAACTTGATTAAATGAAATAAATTAAATAAAGTGAAAATACATAAATTAAATTAAATTAATTAAATGAATTAAATAGATTAAATACATTAAATAAACTTAATTTAGTTTACAACAATTAAATAAAGTAATTAAATGAATTGAATTCAATAAACCAATTAAATTCAATTTCATAAATTATTTGAACGAAATTCATTAAATTAACTTAAATAAATAAATGACATGGATTGGCTTAATCAAATGAAATTCAACCAATTACATAAAATTAATCAAACTCAAAATGTATCCAATGTTATGCCATGATATGGAATATGTGTCCTCCCAAACAAATATACTTATTGAAATGAACATCTATGCTGCTGCCGCTGCTGGGGCTTTCCAACCCGTCTGTTCTCCAAGAACTATAAATATAAATAAATCACAATCTATGCTGATGCCGAGGCTGGGGCTTTACAACCCGTCTTTTTGTGCTGCCACCTCGTTGCCCTTTTTTGTGCTGCTGCTGGGGCTTTCCAACCCGTCTTTTTGTGCTGCCACCTCGTTGCCCTTTTTTCTGCTGCTGCCGGGGGCTGGGGCTTTCCAACCCGTCTTTGTGTGTGCTGCCACCTCGTTGGTCTTTGTTGCTGCAATCTCAGCTTTGTTGCTGCTGCTGCTCGGGCTTTCCAACCCTTTCTATGTTTCGACGTACATATGTATTATTCGTGTATTCACACACACACAGACACACACAGACACAGACACACACACACACACAGACACACACACACACACAGACACACACACACACACACACACACACACACACACACACACACACACACACACACACACACACACACACACACACACACACACACACACACACGCACACACAGCTTCAGCCCTGAACCCTCAAACCCGCAACCCCGAACCCAACCGAAAGCCCAGGCCCATGCATGTTTTTTCAATGACCAAAGGATTTAGGATCAAACTCTCGCTATAGATCCCCTCTAGGACCGGCAGTGCCACGCCGGTGATGAAGAAACCCGCCGCCACAAGACCCGCCGCGTGCACGGAAATCGTCCCCTACAAGAAGCCCAAATCCGAATTGGATGAGGATGAGGAGGAAAGGGAGGAAGAACAGGAAGTGGAGGAGGAAGATGAAAAGGAGCCACGTGACAATGAAGAGGATGACGCTGAAGAGGAGCAGGAGGATGAAAAGGAGAAGGAAGGAACGACGAAAAAGAAGAACCCCAAGCTTAGCAAAGAGGCTTTGGAGAACCACCAGCAATTTCTGAAGGAATGTGCGAAGAAGCAATTGACCGTTGACCAAGTCGACGAAGCAATGAAGAAAGTCAGCAACAAGACACAAATGAGTTTGTGGAAGGCCTTCGAGAACAGTAGGATTGCAGAAGGCCAGCAGGATGAGTTCCTCAAAGCCTGTGGATCGGTGGGCTGCACGAAGAAAAAAAGGAAGATGTTGAGCTCGTGGATTTTGGATGGAGGGAAGTTCACGAAGCACTACAAACAAGCAATTCAGAACTATAGCACCGGAGCACCTAGGATGCTGAGGGTATCAACTTGTACTTTTTTGGATAATGAAACCCTTGCATAATGAAACCCTTGGATAATGAAACTTCATGGATTTTTTTATTTGGAATACAGAACTTAGGCAAAGTCGGCAGTAAAGTGGTTGTGGCTTTCAAGGACGGAAGCGGAACGCCGCATAGGCGCTGATGAACTCAAGGATCGGGTGCAGAGAAAGACGATTGTGTGGCGCCGCAATCCAGAAGACCAGAAATATTTCCAATTCAGGTGTCTGGACTTTTCATTGGTTTTTGATTTACGTTGAGGATATGTAGAGATATACAGTGTATACATATCTATCAGGAAAGAGCCAAAAAGTTGCAATATGATTATCCTTAACCCTTTATGGTAAATTATAGGGTATCCTACCATGAAACCATATTCCAACTTTCTGGAGTGCACAGGTTTGCGAAGGAGTCCGACGAGCTCTGGACGGAGAAGTCCCAGCAGAGGATAGGTTCTCAGAGGCAACGGCCTCTAAGGACGACATGCTCTCGAACGGAAGAAAGGAATGAAAGAGAGGGTCATGGTGGAGGATTTCGACTTCGAGGACGGGTCCCCGGATGAGGCGGAGGAGGAGGACCCGCTGGGGCTGGCAACCAACAAGGGTAGGGGGAGGAAGGAGAAGGAGGAAGGAGGAAAAGAAGAAGAAAAAAAAACAAGTGGGAGAATGAAAGCCAGCCAACCGGTGTAAGCTAGCAGCTAGCACATGTTGCTGGGTTGGTAAGCCCTTAGCTGGGTTGGTAAGCCCTTGGCATCAAATCCCAAACCCCAGATGCTAAACTAAACCGTTCACCCGAACTCTAGAACTCATAAATACCCCTACTACGATCATAAATTCCACGTCTTTTGGAAAATGCCTTAAACTCTTCATACACCCTAAACCTTACAAAAGATCGTTACTTTCATATGGTTTTTGGAAAACCCCCCAATCCCTTCTTTTCACAAATTCCCCAGAAGCCCTTTCATTTCATGTTGCAAGCCCTTCAACACCAAACCCAAACAGGTTTCGAGCGCCACTACGAAGATGCAGCTGGAGAAGAAGATCATCATGTTCAAGACCGAGCTTGGGAAGGAGATCGGGAACCTGGAGAACAGCCTGCTTCAGATCAAGGAGTCAACCGTGGATGGGAAGACCAAGAAGGAGCTTTTCAAGATTGTCAAAGAGGCCGGTTTTTCTGCCAGTGAACTTGATTAGTGAAATAACAACAACATCGCCAGGCAGTGACAAAAGCTGAGGAATCCAAGACTTGCTTGGAGAAGTTCAAAGGATCAGCGAAGATGAAAGCCGAGGATGTAGGATCTGCCTTGCAAGATGCAGTGGCTGCACTAGGACTTGCCAAGCAGGCGAAATCGCAGGCCAGAAAGAAGGTCTAGAGGGGACGAGCCGGCAGGACGATCCGAGAAGAAAAAAAACGGACCCCCCGCTGCTGGGTTGGCTAAGCCCTGTTATGTGTACCCGGACTGGACAGTCCCCGCTGCTGGGTTGGTGTAAGCCCGATAAATGAACCTTAAAGTTTGGATTAGCTCTGTTCGTGTAATCGCTGCCTCAAAAAAAGATTGTAACTTTCATATCTTTTTGGCAAATTCCCTAAAGCCTAGAACCTTGAAAAAAGCATCAACATCATATGTTTTTGGATAATTCTCCGAACCCACTAGCCCGAAAAATTAACCTTTAGCTATTTTCGTGTAATCGCTGCCTCAAAAAAGATTGTAACTTCCATAGCTTTTTGGCAAATTCCCTGAAGCCTAGAACCTTGAAACAAGCACCAACATCATATGTCTTTTGGATAATTCTCCGAACCCACTAGCCCGAAAAATTAACCTTTAGCTCTTTTCCTGTAATCGCTGCCTCAAAAAAATTGTAACTTCCATATCTGTTTGGCAAATTCCGCAAAGAACTCAACATGCTATGTCTTTTGTATAATCCCCGAACCCACTCTTGTACCCAGCCATGGCAAGCTCGAGGAAGAGGGCAGCGAGCCCCCCATCAAGGAAGGAGGAACTGAAATCCCCTTTGGCTATTCTGCTTTTGAAACGATGGAGCAGTGGAGATATCCCAGCAGTTCTGGTTCAGGAAGTGGCCAGTGCAGCCGTCATGTCTGGCTGAGATGCACCAGATGCCAATGCACTGAAGAGATTGGGGTGCGACGGCCTGCAACCTGGAACCTTGGACTCTTACACATCGGATTATGTTTGGTGTTTCGTAGCTCTACCAACAATATATTTATGTGTAGATATATATATATATGTATATATATATATATATATGTATAAGTACCTGGAACCATGGACTCTTACACACAGGATTTCTTTGGTGTTCCGTAGCTCTATGAACCATACTTAACTTAAGTACTTGGAACCATGGAAAATTGTAAGACTACACATAGGATATCTTTGGGGTTTCTTAGCTTTCTCGAGACTATAAGTTATTGTATACATGTATACATGTTTCTCTTGACAACCAGTAAGGCAACATACAACGGGACCTCAAGAGAAACTTTTTCAACATCATGGTCTTTCCGGAGTGCAGGATGATCAAGACGACTGTGAAGGCAAAAAGTCCTGCTGGAATGGACAAGGAATGCCCTGGAGAGGTACCTGTTGTTTTGCCGGAGGACTGGATCGGCTCCCTCAAGGACAGCAACTTCGAGGCGGTGTTGGGCATGGATGGAGTGGAAAACTTTTGGAAGGAGCAGTTGCAGTGGGACAACCCCAGGATACAAGCTTCAAAATCGCTTTTCAAGAACCTGTCCAAAGACGCCGACAAGAATCACGTCGTGCCCTTTGCACTGCACCTTGGCCGCATCAATGGTTTTGGTACAGAAGGGCTGGACAGCCCAAGGATTGTTTTTGTTACAGAGAGGGTTGGACAGCCATGGGCTGACTGGCTCGAGAATTCTGGACTGCATTGAATGGGTTGGACAGCCCATGGATGTGAAAGAGTTTGAAGGGTTGGACAGCCCAGAAGGAGAACACCCGCCACTTGTGGTTTAGCTACGAGGAAGAGCCTCGTGTGCCATGGGCTCACTGGCTTGAGAATTCTGGACTGCTTTGAATGGGTTGGACAGCCCATGGATGTGAAAGAGTTTGAGCGGTTGGACAGCCCAGATGTAAGGAAGGAAGGCAGTTTGGGGGTTCACAGAAGCAACAGCCAGCAAGGACGAGATGATCGGGTGGAAGAAAGGCATGAAGGAGTCGGTCATGGTTGAGGATTTTGACTTTGAGGAGGGGACCCCGGATGAGGAATGGACTGGATTGAATGGGTTGGACAGCCCATGGATGTGAAAGAGTTTGAAGGGTTGGACAGCCCGGGATCCCCAGAATATCTGGAGGGAGAACACCCGCCACTTATGGTTCTGGACTGGGTTGAATGGGTTGGACAGCCCATGGATGTGAAAGAGTTTGAAGGGTTGGATAGTGGCGGGATCCCCCAGAATATCTGGAGGGAGATCTGGACTGGATTGGGTTGGACAGCCCATGGATGTGAAAGAGTTTGAAGGGTTAAAGGAAGAGGGCAGTCATATATCTCCGGAGCGAGGCTAGTAAGGGGTGTGTTAACAGCGGTTGCAATGGTTATCGTGGTTACCGTTGGAAGGTTGGACAGCCCAAGGAGGCTTTTTGTTACAGAAGGGCTGGACAGCCCATGGATTGTTTTTGTTACAGAATGGATTGTGGGTGTAGAGGACCGAGGCCGAGCCACGCATAGGAGCCGACGAGCTCAAGGAACCTGTAAGGAGAAGAACAATATGGCGAAGGAAACAATGAAGACACAGAAGGGTTGGACAGCCCAAGGATTGGAAGGGCTGGACAGCCCGTGTAACGAGAAGAACAATCGTTAAGGAACCCATGAAGCTCAGAAATAGTTTCAGTTTCGGTGTGTGGACTTTTCAATTGATTGGACAGCCCAAGGCTATAGGCTTAGAGTTCTTGTTGTTCTTGGATTGTTTTTGTTACAGAATGGTTGGACAGCCCATCAGGATGTTTTTGCTGCCACGAGAAAAAAACTCAGGCACGGTGATGCCGCACCGCACACCGAGACTGATTCGCTGCTGACGGTGAGTATGAGGAGTATGACCTCGAAACTACCGGTGAACCACAGCCAGCTGGTGCCTTGGATGTTTAATCGGCATGAAAGTCTAGAATACTTTTGTTTCCGAATGCATATTAAATAGTGGTTTCTTTTATAGCTAAAGTCCAAGCCTCACTGAGGTGTTGTTTACAATTCCAAAAATGTATTGTCACGGAAAAGCTTTTGGCTGATCTGTGGGACGCCATCGTGGAGAGTTTCAAACAGATGGCAACGCATAGAACTGGATGGTCTTATGTATATGTATATGTGTATGTATATATATATATATGTATATGTATATGTATATGTATATGTGTGTACATGTACATGTATATATGTATGTGCATATGTGTGTGTGTGAGAGACAAGTATGTGCTATGAAGCGAAGGACAGATGTACCATGGAACGACCTGAGAGCAAGTGCTGCTTGGAGAACGCAAGTGAAGACAGCAGAGGACTTTTGCAACGAGTTCGGCGGCCACAAGCTCTTCGCCATCCCTGGCCTCAACCCACTTGCAATTGCTTTGGACACTCTGCACACTTGGGATCTGGGCATAAGCTGCCACCTCCTCGGATCGTTTTTGTGGGACTTGGTTGAGGATGCAGGCCATGGAAACAGGGACGAGCGCTGGAAAGAGATTTATGAGGAAATACAGTCCATTTATGACGCATTGCATGTGGCTGCCAGCCAGAGAATCGGAAGATTGAAATGGAGGGACGTGGCGAAGTCCAACCAAGTATTTCCGGTTCTCAAACATGTGAAAGGACGCCGAGTTAAGCACTTTGTGCCGGTTGCTCTGTTGCAGAACGGTACAAGGAAACCTGCCTGAGATATTATGTCATGCTGTAGTTGGTTGTTTTCACAGATGCTGCTACAGGATCATGTTTTTTGGACCTTATCCGAGGACGAGGACCCAAAACCCCAGCATCGCTTCTTGGCCATTGAAGCTTTGGCGAAAATGTATGCACCTTGGATGTCTAGAATAATTGCCGAAGAGTTTGTTTCAATTGTAGAGTTTCGCAAACTAGGTTTAAGAAGACTGTATGTATCAGGATTTGGTGGACAAGCCGGATGTGAGATGGAAGAAGGAGGACCAAATCGCACTCAGCAAGTCCGTGGAGAAATGTCTGAAACACTACCAATGGCTTGGAAAACATTGCTTTGAGAAGAAGCTCTTGAGATATTCTATGGTCCAGAACCTGACTGCCCACATGCCCTCCACGGCCATGTTTATGAACCCGCGGTTGTAGCTTGGACCGCATTTCAGATTTTCCCTTGTGTCCATAACACGTCTACGGGATTTGCAAGCACGCCTTCATGAGGACGTGGTGCTACGGTGCCGAGAGCTTCATGGGAACTATGGTTCATTTGGCCGGCAGCTGTGTGCATAGCACCGCCGCTGTCAAGCTTCCCGCTGCCATGATGGCCAAGTATAGGTTCCTGTGGGATCTTTTGCTCAGGAGGCTTGTGGACTTGGACTTGGATGACTGATCGAAGGCAAAATGTTATGCATGGGTTGGATAGCCCTACAGCACCGTTCATGTCTCTGGAATGATATAGGCCCGGGTTGGAGAGCCCGGTAGGTGCATGAACATGAAGATGTCTTTTTTGGCAGTTCGAGCTGTGGAACCCAAGGTTTAAGTAGCTAGTGCAAGCAATGGCCGTTCGGAAGAAGCCCGCCATAAAGGCGGGGTAGCAAACTTTTATGGATTACATCGTCTTTTTGCGCCACTGCCAGGACCAGAAGGTGAAGCGAAAGCCTGCGCTGAAGAAGCCGGCCCAAAGCAAGGAGAAGTTCCCCAAGGCCCCAAGGTGGACGTGTTTCTTCTCGCGGGTGAAGTCATGCAATGAATACACTACTTAGGCAAATAAGGATATCAATAAACGTGTTTAGTGCAATTTTTGGCCACATCGAGGAGCAGATGGATGCGAGAGAAGCCTACCTTTTGGAGAAGAAGGACCCAGATGTTGATGAAGAGGAGCCGAACCTGAGCCAAGTCACGACACTGGTACTTCCAGGAGTTCCGGGAGTTGTGCTGCCAGAAATCCCGAAGAAGGATGTTGAGAAACCGTTGCCAGAAGAGCTTGAGCCGGAGCCTGTGAAAGAAGCCTTCAAGGAAGCAGGACAAGCAAGGGGCCAGAAAAGCTCAGGAGGCTCAAAGTGTCTTTGGAGTTCGAGGTCTAGGACTGTCTTTGGAGAGCTCGAACTGGGAAAGCTCGAAAAAAAGGAGCAAATGCCCAAGGGGTTGGAAACATGGGTTGGGAAGCCCAGCAGGACGACAGATAGAGCCACGAGGGCAAAGCACTCATGGTCATTGCATGGGTTGGAAAGCCCAGTTAGCCACGCAAACCTTAATGGTGTTTTTATGTGCTAGCTATTTTTGCTCAAGCTCGCCCATCATGGAAGATGAAATCATTCTGCAAAAACTTCGTGCCAGTGGAGCACCAACCCGCTTGGCCAAGCAGCTGTTGACTATCTGGTGTCGGGGTTTCATGGAGCAGTGTGAGGAGGAGACCCTTCTGGACTACGTTGAATGCCGGGGGTACCGCTTGGAGCTGGAGCTTGAGGGGCTGCAATCAGAACAAGCCGTTCGGAGCAGGCAGCTGGAGCTTATGTGGATCCGTCGTGTTTTAAAGTCATAGACAGCTGTCATAGACACGATGGACTAATTAACAGATCGATGGTGATCGTCTTGAGGGGATTAAAAAGCGCATGCAAGGATCTGGAAGTTTAGTGCTGTTACTTAAGTGTGTATGGGTTGGGAAGCCCGGCCCAGGAATTAAAGATATATATGTATGCATGTGTGTGTGTATTTGCATGTCATACGAAATGATTCGTTTCACAACTGAGATTTTCATGCCAAGAATTGGCTGCATATGGGTTGGAAAGCCCAAACCAAAAGGGTTGGACAGCCCCTGCAACTATCTGGATTTTCTATTGATTTTACTCTGGATTTTCTATTGATTTTATTCTGGATTCTCTATTGATTTTACTGTGCATTCTCTATTGATTTTATGCATGCTCTCTCGATTGATTTTATGGGATCGGTGTTGTGATATCCTCGATTGATTTTGACTCTACTCTTCTATTGAATTTCATGCAAAAGTTCTCTATTGAAAAAATCCCGAAACGCTTGATTTTACACAACTTCGTTCTTATTGAGTCTTATTGATTACGGCGGCTGCTCTGGCGAAGCCATCTACCCCTGAGCAACGGCTTCGGCGCCTTCGGCTACGGCGTGAAGCACCCCCCCGGCCAGTCCGCACAGCCCACGGTGATTTCTATCGCTTGGCTCAAACCATTCTCAAGCAGTTCATGCAGGAGGATGGCCAGTCCAAACGCAGAAGAGGCAGCGGCGTCAATGACGGAACTTCGCGGGGACTCCCCGGCCACTTGAAGCGAGAACTTCAGCTGTGGCTGGAGCGGGACCAATGGTCGCAGCCCATCTATCCCAGCTCCCCTTTTCCCGCTGGCTCCTGGACGTTACGCTTCATGCTGGACTATGGCGCGCGAATGGGGAGCTCAGGGCGGACACCGCCACCTTCAAGAGGTCTGACGACAAGTTGGCTTCCTGCAGAGAAAGCGACTCTGGATGATGAAAGGCCAAGTTCTACTTGGCCCCGGACCTCAGGCCGCGGAGCTCAGGACCTGCGGACGCCACCTTAGGTATGTCTATCAGGAAGTCTACCCATGGGAGTCCTATTCCAACCTCGATGGCTACCTGGTGATGGACAAACACCGCCCCTCCAACACCGCCTTCAGGGAAGCAGGAGGAAGCGGTGTTACCGACACCCAATCCGTTGATCGGGAGCACGCCACCACGGCACCTCCACACCCTCACCGTCCACTGAGGCCAATGCGACCATCCCGCGACCAATCCGGAGAAGAGCCAGACAGCGCTTCCAGGCCTCTGGGGCGAAGCCCCGGAAAGCCCAGCAGCCCCCACATTTGACCCGCATGCAAGATTCAGAGCAATGGCGGTTTGAGGAGGAAGCGACGTCCCCTATCCGGAGCGCTTCACAGGTGAGTGCCCGCTGGCGCGACCCCCGCCATCCTGAAGCAGTGGGGACACGGTCCGCCTATAATGTAGCACCACAGTGGCGACAACGTCGATAGGGCTTTAAACCGCTCCAACGAGTCTTTTTTCCCTTTTCTCCGCCCTTGACTGCCTGCAACAGCTTTTGCTTTCACTTGTCTTCGGAGAGCGGCTCCGCCGCGCAGACGCCGGACCAGACCAAAACAGCCCCCTATAGGGCACTATTGCAAGGGTACCGAGTCCCCTGACCGGAGGCTCTGGTATGCAGAGCCTACCTCTCCTCTGCTCTCTGCTTAACAAGCTACTAGACCCTGGCATTGTGCCTCGACTGACTCAGGCTCGTGATGCATCGCTAGTGGTGCGTTCCAAGGTAGCCAGCCTCAACATGGATCTCGATGACTCTGACGAAGACTTCCTAGAGCCGCAGCCAAATGTCGCCGCCCCACTCTACTGCAGCCGACCACGAGTGGACTGAGAACGACAGGCAGGGCTCCATCTGCTCTGCACTCAGCCTGTACACCCCAGGCTACAGCGGCTGGGGTGTGCCTTCAGCTCCCCCGCTGACGACTTGCATCGCACCTTCGAGCAGCTGGACGCCCTGCTGGACATCCTCCCGACCACCTCAGCCTGCCGCCATGCATCGGTGGCACTGCCTCAGGCAGCTGACCAGAAAATCATCACGCTGGGTGCATACGTCCATGGGGCCAATGGCCGGACTGAGGACACAAACACACCGCTTCCCCACGGTGGCGTGCCTCCTGAATACGGTCGTACACACCATGGCTGGACGGCACCCACACCACTCTCTTCCTGGCACGCAACATGGCGACTGGCCTTCATGTCGACCACAACCAGGAGGGCGTGAACAACCTTCTGATCCCCCTGTGCAACTTCGAGGGCGGCCATCTCTTCGTGGAAGACGAGCAAGGTAACTACATGCTGGACCAGAGAGGACCCCGAGGACATGTGCACCCAGTCACCTTGCCGTACCTCAGTTTTGATGCTTCGCGAAGGCACCTGGTACTGCCTTGGACAGGCCGTCGCCTGATCCTGGGCACGTGCCACGTCAGAGATGCGGGCAAACTTTCCGGGACTTTCCGCGCACTCTGCCAAGTATTTACAATATTTAGGTTCTGAGGTGCGGAGGTCAGATGCCCCGCACCCGGTACCCCGCGGCAGCAAGGCTGATAGGAAAGCACAACCGTAACTGAGGGCAATGCCCGATCAATTAGTCAAGCATGCCACTAGGAATCGAGCTTGCCACCCCCGTCATCCGAACGGTGCGTGCCCCTGAGCCATTCTGCGCTCCTTTGTTGCTGGACAAGCCACAACGCGGATCAACCCGGCGTGCAATGATAAAACCTGAATCCAGGATCGGCCTGCTCATGTGCATACAAAGATTGCCAATAGTTCTAGAGGCCGCACAGCACAGCCAAGCAAAGCTGAGGTCGGAGCCGCGCTGCAGAGCCTGCCCGCGGCTACATGACGACGCACCACCTGGCAGACCTCATGCGGTAAAACAGAAGCGGCGCTCAACATCATGCTGCCGACTGCATGACCTGCCGCTGATGCCTGCCAATCAGCATAGGGCAATGTAGGCCGCAGTCCCGACTTCCCATAACAGCTTATCATCCTTCGGGCTTATCAGACCACAGGGTCAATGAGTCAGTTTCACACCCAAGTGAGTGCACCGCGGCAAACGCCCGCAATGTGCTGAGCCCGCTCGCACAGCGTCCAATTGAATAGAACTAGAACTAGAAGTAGAAGTAGTAGTAGTAGTAGTTGTAGTAGTAGTAGTTGTAGTAGTAGTAGTAGTAGTAGAAGTAGTAGTAGTAGTAGTAGTAGTAGTAGTAGTAGTAGTAGTAGTAGTAGTGGAGGTGGTAGGAGTCGCAGTCGTAGTAGAAATAGTAATAGTAGTAGTAGTAGTAGTACTACTACTACTACTGCTGCTACTACTGCCACTGCCACGAACTGGCAATGCTTCGCTGTCCGTTCACAGCAACTACAGCTGCAAGGCGGTGAGCGTGGTGGGCGCGGGGAGCGGGGGGGGGCCCAGCTTCTGTGCTGGTTGTGGGAGGGGGAGGTGGAGGGGTGGTACGTCAGCCTTCCTTGCTGAGAGGAGGCGGGGGGTGGTAGTCACCCCCCTTAGGCTGCAGCAGCAAATACCAGGTTAAGACAAACTATCTTCTATTCTCTTCATTGCATGGCATACTCTGCATGTATGCAGTCCATTCTTCACAGGGACAGAATTGGATGCGGATGGGCTTGTACAGTGCACAGCCACTGTCACTTCCTGCTTCTCTGCCTGATTCGCGATGTGCCGCACCCTTACCGTTTGTGCTTTGCGATCCTGTGGAAGAGAAGGCAAGCAGAATTGCCACGGATGTTTGCAAGGCGACATGGCCCGAATGGCACATGCAGCTGCATAATCTATGAGTCTATGAATGTAGTCCTTTGTCGATTTCATGGCCCTAAGGTTTGCTTCTCACCGGCTCTCTTCCCTGACCCATCCTCGCCACAAACGTCGCAGCCGCAGTGGCTCCAATCTGTCCATGGCGACCATTCGCAGTCCTTACATCTTGCTGTCTTAGACTACGGCATCTTATTTGAATACTGCGACTAGAACTTCTAAGTCGGTCGGGCATGTTGATCAAGACAGTCGCATGATGTGACACTTGGGGGCCCCGCCCGATTGCCCATAAGACAATCACTGTCAAAGTACTTGTCCATCTGCATCGTCTCTTCCTGCAGATGCTGGGATGCGGCCCTCGGCTGCCCCTCGGACCAGGAACCGAAATCACCAACCGCGGTGCCTTGACACCGCTGCAAGGTGCCCCACCTGCACTGTTCATCCTCGCAGCATGTCTCACAGATAGCCAGATAGACAACAGACCGGTGGACACAGAGAGAGAGAGAGAGAGAGAGACAGACACACACACACACACACACACACACACACACACACACACACACACCAAAACTACGAGACAAGGGTTACTCGGGGCACTGAGTGACAGTTTCTCCCCGCTTCCTGCGGCGCCATTCCTAAAATCTTCAGACGAACTTTCTCTGACTCTACGTTCGCTTTGTTCTTCATTGATCCGGGATCGGCGCCCCCTGACGCTGACATCCTTCCTTCTTTCCTCGAGCCAACAGTCCAACTTCCTCTCCTGACCCGGGCATAAGAGGGACTTTGGGGCCCGCATCAAAGGCTCTGCTTTGCTGCATGGCTTCGTTAAGGAAGAGAAGCTCGCCGCGCGCAGCCCGCAGCGCCCCCTTATCAAAGGCTTCCTTATCTCTCTATACCTCTTTGACCTGCGTTGCTACCTGCAACCTTCTGGAAAACCTTGATGTCCAACTTCTCCACAGGCCTGAAGATCTTGCGGCTGCGTACACCAAGACCAGAACAGCCTGCCGAGCAAACCACCAGGCTGTGCGGCTGTGCCCTGAACAGCGCAATACTTTGTGTAATTCTCTCAGCCCACAATGATCATGAATTTCCAATTCTGTAAATGCACTCGTGAAACACCTAGGGCTGCGGATGCAGGCTCCTCTAAAGCAAGCCTGGTCATCTGCCTAGGAATTGTGTGAGACCCCGCAGTAGTCTTGGTATGTTCCAGCTGAACAAACAAAAATGCGAGCACAAAGCGGAGGAACAGGCCGCAGGCTACCGGCTTCTTATCTTGAGATCTAGCAACTTTTCCTCCATGATTAGTCGCAATCCACGCGCTCACTCGCACCCATTCACCCATGTCAGTCTGGCTAGCTGGTTTGCAGACATAACGGACAGGTGGGAAGAAACGTCTGAAATCCTACGGTTTTATCCCTGAGGGAAGCAAGACCACATTGAGCGAGGTACCCATTCGAGATTTACCCACCAAGCCCACCCAAACGCTGACACCAATGAGCACTCGAAAACCTCTTGACTCTTGACCTTAAAACAAAGCAGAAGGGTTATCCAGTCCAGGTGCCATCCGCTTACGATCCATGCATGCTATCTGGTTCAGTCACTCAATTCAATGGCTCTTTAGACTGGTAAACACTGCTTCACGTTTCTCCAAGCTCTTCTTCCGCTTGGCCACTGACCTTTCCAACCCTCCCGGCCTCCGAAGGACTCCCACTGCCCCCACGCCTAGTTTGGCTTTCGGGACATCGGAATGCTGTACATCGTGGGGACTGATCCAATGCAAGTGTGACTGAGGCTCTGAGGCTCTGGCACCCCAAGCACAGTCTATGCGCTGAGCAAGATCGCTGCAGGGCGTCTCCCTGGGCTGAACACATCCAGCATCCATGGCTGAGGCAAGTTATGTCGCAAGTCCACACCCGAAAAGTGCGAAGTGATGCTGAGAAAAAGCAAATACCTTCGCCAGTTGCCCTCCGCAGATCCATTTGAGCGGTGGGCGTACAAAGAGCCCAATGCTCCTGCACTCATGTCACAAACTGCAACAACAACTACTGCTGCTGCTGCTGCTGTGCTTGACGCTTTGGTGCGAGGATCTTGACCTAAGCGTCGCCTCGAAGCCGTGGCAGCCTGCAAGCGGGGTGCCCTTCGGCAGGAAGCTCTCCACCTCGTGCCAGCAAGGCTTGACAAAAAAGTCCAAAATCGCTACTGGATCGTCGACCCCATTGAACCCGCGAATTCTTCCGGGAACAGCGCTGTAAACTGTGGGACAGGCGGCTGCTCAAGTTCAAGGTCGTCCTGGCATCGCTCGGTGACATCAAAAGCAAGCAATGAAGCAAGCAGAGATAAGCAGAGTGCAGTAGATGTCAACGAAGGGCCAGACAAGAGCCACGCATACTTTATCCTGGCCCTGGGCTCAGCCCACAACCATCTGTAGTGAAACGTCATCGTTTACTTATTTCTATGGCAGCTACTAGAGATGATGATGCGGAGATGACACGGATGAGCGGAGTCACCGGAATGTGCAAGGATTGGTCAACAGGCCTGAGGCTGCGGGGTCGTATGGACACCCTCCATCCACTGGACCTCCCTCAGGAGTGTTGATTTGATAAATGTCTGTCTCCACACTGGCAAAACTCTTAACGTCCCTAGTTTCCCGAGCACGGTGCTCTGTGCCCGCTGGCAGTGGACCCGGTGAAGTCGATTGAAGCGGAACGCTGGGCATTGGAGTAGTTGCCGGGAACGTAGACGGAGGGCCTGGCTTTCTGTCCACACTATGACTGATTAGTGATTTCGCGCATGAACAACTAGCTAAGCCAGGTGAGACTGCTATTCTCTGATAGCTGACATGTCGTGAAAACTCCCATTGGGTCTTGTCGGCTGCATTCCAAGACAATGAGGCTTGAGGTTCGCATCAAGTTACCCGGAGCGACCCAAGTCTTCTCCAAACCACAGCCTGCCTGCAACGAAGGGAGATGTGGTCGGAGGCGGCGCCGGTGGGTTGGGAAGTAGGACATGGTGGACCACCTCACATCAAGGGAACGATGGGGGGGGGGGGGCCTCAAACTTCAAACCGAGTGTCGCGCATTTATTGTCGGACTTTGGGTCTGGCTCTGTTGGCCTTGCTGGCCCTGACACGATGCGACGATGCGATGGATCAAGACTCGCTTGCCCTCCAAGCTTCAGGTCGTGAGGTCTGCACCCACTGATAGTAAGGCTTCTTGGGCCTCGTCTGCGCGCCATCAACACGACGCATGTGCTGCATTGCTGAAACTTCAGTTACCGAGCGGCCCCCAAGAATAGGAGCCACCAGGCGGCTGCAGCGGATCCACCTGACCCTGGGCTCCTGGTCCAGCCTGCGCCACGGCTGTGCCGAGGACTTGTCGGCCGAAGTTGTGAGCCCGGAGCCTGCTGCTGGCCCTGCTGGCCCTAAGCGGAAGGCACAATGCAAAGATAGAGCACTGCTGCTGCATGAGGCCGGCACAAAAGGCACCGTTTGCAGTCCCTGCTGGCCCTGCTGACCCTCGGCAGAAAGCACAGTGCGAATTACCGAATGACAGTGTCATTTTTTTATGACGACGCCCGGTGTGTGACGGGTGCGTCCTGCTTCGGAGTGAAGGTGGTGATGATGATGCGCGTTTGGGGTGGGGGGGGGGGGGCAGGGGGGATGGGGTGATAACGTTCTTTGTTCAACGTTCTTTATTTAGCTTTCTTGAACGATCTTTTTCTGGATATGCCTTGCTAGTCAGTCATCATGTTGGCATTGTCATGGATGCATGCTGCTGCATGTCTTGGCATGGGGATGGTGGTGCTGGATGATGCTGCTGGATGCTGCTTGCATCGGCATGGTGTTGGATGCTACTTGCATCGGGCTGTTCACTGAAGCCTGGCCGGCACGCAGCTGATCGATCGAATCTGGATGCATCTTAAGGCAAGCATCCCGATGAAGATCAACATCAACAAACACGATGGCAACCATCGTGAAGCGAATGCCGAGCGCATGTGGAAGCATATCCGGCAGTTTCAATTCCGACACATGCATACGAATGCATACAAAGCACTCGCAAAGCTGTGCTCAGCTGCCAACAGCTGACTGAAGCTTTGCAAACCCCCGGAGCCAAAACGCGCGTGAGCATCATTATCTCTTGTAAAAGGACCCTGTTACACACTTCCGGTCCTTCATATGCAGGACTTCTCAATCAGGAATATGCATGTTCCCTGGATTTTTGCAACATGCCTAGTGTCTGTAGTGGCGCCAAACGTCGGTCACGTACCAGGCGTCGTTACCTAGTTTTTCTGCATGAGTCCGGCACGAACTGCATTGTCTGCTGGCCCTGCTGGCCCTCGGTCGAAGGTGCAATGCTAGGTAGTGTTGTGCAGGAGCAGCATACAAAATTCGACCGAAGTCACAGCCAACCAGCGCGAGCATGATGACCCAAGCAGTAGCAGCCCAAGCCCAGTCTGCAATTACTATATCATCTTCTTCCAGGCTGAGATCGCGCCATTGTCTTGCTCCAACTGCTGTATGCTACAAACTGCAGGAGCACTTGAGCGCCGCACAAAAAATATTGTCTGCTGATTTGCCGCGGAGCTGCTGAAGTCCTACAAGAACCGGTGCAAATGGGAAGACGGTGCATGCTGTCGAGCCAGAATGACAACAGCTTCATCAAAAGAGTAAGACAGAGACCGCACTGCATCGAAGAATCAGACTGAAGAGCAGTCTGTGCCACCTGCACAGTGACGGTCCCACGGATACATGGCAAGCAATTCTTATGCATGGGCATGATTGCATGCTCTTGGGCAGGACATGTGCATGGGATTGCCTCGCCATTTCTGCGATTGGCTGCAGCACCGAGTCACTAGTGAGGGAGACCTCTATCCTGGCAGGAATGCCACGAAACCAAGATAACATCGGCAGGTGCAAAGTTGAGATGTATGCAATGTCGTGCAATCAATTGCGCTGCAATATAATGGCACGCCATGCCATACTAAGCCATGTCATGTCCTGTCATGCAACGTAACGTGCATGTACATGCGCATGCTACATGCGCGTGCACATGCATATGCACAAGTACATGTATACTGTATATGTGTTGCCTAGCTCCATCTGAACAAAACGAAACAGACCTGAGGATAGCATCCTGGTGCCAAATCGTGGCCATGCCTCCGCAGAAGAAGACCTACTGCAAACCGCAGTACTGGTGATAAGTATTGCCCCAGTCACCGGTGCCCGTTACTGGTACGACAAAACCTATCTTGTACGAGAAGACCTACCTGAAACCGTTATACCAGTGCTAAGTATTTTTAACACAAGAAGACCCACAGGCCTGAAACCCGAATCAAAATGATAATAATAACCATATGGAATCAGGTATTGCCTCTGGCCCTTTTCTACTGCAATACGATCCACTTAGAACTGGAATACTAGTGCTAGGTATTGCCTCTGCTCCCGTTATTAACACAAAACGACCTACTAGGATCCGGAACTGCCTAAACCCGGTCTACTAGTACCAAAACAAACCTAAGCCCGAAGCTACTGACACCGGAATAATGTTGCCGAGAAGGGCAAGGCTACAAGTCCATTTTAGGACATGCTCATACTGCCTAAGTCGAAGGAACACTGCTGTATACTCGTGCCGTGATTGCAAGCAGTACATTTCTTACACCATTTCACGTTTCGGACTTCATGCAGTGATGTTGTCACTGCACGTTTGGGGCTGGAAGGCCTTTGAGGCGCTACTGTACTACTGGTTGGGTGACGCAACCAATTGCTTTCTCTGTACTCATACGAAAAGATCCACCTGCAAGCACAACATAACTACTGAGTATTGCCTTTGACCTCCCTTCTCACAAGAGAAGACTCCACGCCTAAAAGCAGCATGGTAGCATCCAGTATTGCCTATGATCCGTTTACTCAAAACAAGAACCCCGCCTGAAAGCGGAACACTTTTGCGGAGCATTGCCTAAGATCCCTTACTCACAAGGGAAGACCCGACCCGACAGCAAGAACTATGCAATATGGCGTTACACTCTCCGTATTTACTAAATCGGACGACCCGCTAACAGACCCACGGACTTCCCTCAAAAGGTCCCTCTTCAAAAGGAGGTTCTCAAGGATACGAGTACACAGATCGAGTATTATAGGCAACCTCGCCGTTCACCAGAGCACAACACGACTGTTGAGTATGGCACGCAAGCTCTCCATATTCACAATAACAGGGCCACATCATGCCGAGAAACTGCCATGAAGCATTATCTCCACTCGTTCCACTCATTGAAAAAAACTACCTCAAATCAAGTTTCGGTCGGTAAGCTTTTGCCACGCCCGCTATATTCCGCAGTCGCGCCAACGAAATATAACCATCACCCCGAATCAGTATAATGCACGTTGTGACACTTAGAGGCTTAGTCGAGCTCCGAAGAGAAACCATTTTAGTACACAAGAACTGTCGGATTCAGGCCGGGAAGTGTGTGAAGTCTCTACCGAACTTCCACCGACAAGTACCCACTGTTACGACGCGTGCAAGTCCTTGCAATCGTTTGCTGGCCTGGTTCCATGTGAGAAACGCCATAATACACAACCATGGAAGTCTCCGATCCAAAGCTATCATCCTGACTACACATGTCAATCCTCCGAACAGGCCACAGCTTATGTGATCTTTGGCCGCTGCATTCGCGCATGTAGTTTCTATCGGTGCAACTCCAGGACTCCACCCCTCCTATCCCACCAACACCAGCAACTTCCACAACTCCCCTCTTTTTTTCTTCACTGGCTCTGGCAGTTTCCAAGAGTAGAGTGGATGAAAGAAACCTGTGTGCGCAATGATTGTGACTGCCGTTACTTTTTATTGTGCCAGCAACCGACCGATCAATTGGGAGATGTTTGAGTGAGAGCATGTGTTCTAGGACCCGATACCGAAGCCAAAGCAGTTGGAAAAGCGGCGGTGCGCTAGCTATCCATGAACTTCGCGTGGAAAGCATCTGTTGTCATTCGTGAGTAATATTTATGAACCCGTTGGTGCAGCCCACAGACCCTCAGTCCTAAGTTCGGGCTGCTGCAAAAACCTGTAGCTCCGCAGCAACACTCGCCGTCTTCTTTGCTGTGGTGCCAGCACAGCCGCTTCGGCCACCGTCAGAGGACAAGCTTGTTTGTTCTTTACTTTAGCGTTAGCAATTTTGTCTTGTCGCTAATAAAGCCAAAGTCATGAGGAGCCTCTTGATGTCTGGGGCCTGATCGATGAAGCCGACGAGGCACATAGCCTTGTTTTGTTTTCGCGTTCGTTCTTGTCTTTTTCTAGTTCTGCTGATGAAATCTCGGAAGAGTCGTTGAACTAGTGGTGAAGAGGCGAGGTGTTCGTGTAGACCTTTCTTTTGTTTGAAACGGCATTCTGCCGCGTGGGTGGATGAGGGCATGACTGACCATGACTGACGAGCCTGGCGAACAAGACTTTGGAACAGGGAAGGGGGGAGGTTGTGGCCAGTGCTTGTTGTGTAAGCTGCAGTCCCAAGGTTTTGATTCCTGTGCAGCTTTTCGGACCAAGACTAGCACACCTTGTGTTTGTCGGGGCGCACAGGTCACCTGAAGAGGCCAGGCTTGGTAACGTTCGTCTTCAACCTTCAGTTGTCTTTGCAAAAAAGATTCACATTAGGGTTCTTAGCGCGTGGTTGGATTTTCCAGCGTTTGGTTGTGTTTGGAGCCGGTCGACGGTCGAATAGAGCATAAAGGCTTAATTAGCCCATATACACTACACATCTTGGGTGTGCCTCTGGCAAGTGGAACACGGGGAGAAGCACGCGCGGGCACGCGCATACATACTCTACCATGGCACGGGGAGGGTGTTTCACATGTATACGTATACGTATATGTATACTTGTATGCATGTGCCTGCGTATATGTGCATTTGTGCATCATCCGAACCTATCATGACGCATCAATGGTGCGCACACTTGCAAACCTCGCCAAAGCAGCTGGGATGTGCCATTTGGCACCCGGTCTCCCAAAACCCGGGGCTGAGACTGCAATTGCAGCGACAGCAAGACTTGCTTCTCCGGGCAAGAGTTGACAAGATAGATCGAGAAGAGCTTCGCTGCTTTTATGCATCAGGCTGCATCAGGTGCCTCAGGTGCTCCGATGCAGTTCTTTCTCCACAGGCCGAGCTGTACAGATGGTCTCAGTCTATGCGTGGCACTCACAGCGTAGGAAAAACACCCAACGCAGACCTCGTCACGGAGCCAGAATTGTCAACTCAAGCCCAAGTCCAAAACATGGAGCACTGTCAGCAGCAATCGATGTGACCAGCCCAAGGAGCTTGAAATTGGACCGTGCTTCGACAGGCCGCACCTTGATCCAAACTGGGAGCGACGTGCAAAAGTCTGCGAACTGCTTGGCTGAGAGTGCAACGCAAGGTCGGCGCCGACCTTCTCCTGCGGTTCAACATCCTGCCGGGACTGCAGTCAGATTGTGCGCGATTCCCCGATGGCCCTTGCCTCCAACGGATTTTCGAACTGCTTCTTGCTGATGGCCCCCCAAATCCTGGATACGAGGGCAGTAGGAAGGTCGACACGACTCGGACGGCGCTGAGCTCCAGACAAAGGAACTGGCGGCCATTGGCGTAACCAGATCCAGCCTTTCTCTGGCCTTTTGACGTAGTGGAAATCCTGGCATGCTGCTGTCAATGAATGAAAGTGCCATCTCCAGTTGAAGCCAACTGCCGGCTCCCACAATTTCCACGAAGCTGCATGGCCCTTGCGACATTGAAGGACTGTTGTCTTGCGAAAAAAGCCGGGCTAGACTTGACCAGGCATTTTGCTGTGTGCTTTGACCAGTTGAAGACAAGCGTTGTGAAACAGCTGAAACCCGCAAAAGACAGACTGTTGACACAGACATCAAGGTAACAACAACAACAACAACAACAACGACAACAACAACAACAACAACAACAACCACAACCACAACCACAACCACAACCTGTACCGCTTTCAGGTACAAGTCCCTGCACGTGAAGTCTCTACGCGCATGCGCATCCAAAGACTATCAGGCTAAAAGCAGCAAGTCAGAGGATCTGGCATCCACAACTGTCCGCCGTGACTCCAGCATCTCCGTCCAATACTTTGCTGTCTGAGTCCATCGCACCCTTGGCTTGCACACTGAAAAAACCTTTGAGCAAAAACCAATCCTTCTACAAAGCCACGCAGGCAGCTAATTGCACCCGGTCACTTGCCCAGGTCGGTGCCCTTGTAGAGATGCTGGCACTGCGGACCCTCCGTGCCTCAGGACTTCGAGACTGCCGTCCGAAGTTGCCAGAGCTGGAAAAGAGCTCTCAGACAAGGTGGCAAAAAGAATTGACTTGCGAGAGATTCGGTAGACGCGATTGCAGCCCAAGTGTTCTCCATCTTTTGCGAGCAAGCCTCGGACACAAAGCCCGAGAAGCAAAACTGCTGAGACCACGGCAATGCGACAGGAAGGACACCGGTGCGAATCGTCGAACCTGCACCTGGGCTGCTGGTCTCGGACGGCTGTTCCAGTATCGAAGAATGAGCCCAGAGGGGTCCCTTGGGGTTCTGGTTTGGGCGCCCCCGGTTGATTCGAGGCCCCACTCGCACGTCCCCCAGATTTCTCGTGCTGTGGTGGACAGGGGAGAACCAAGTGCGTTGAACCCCGATGTGTGTGTGTCCTTCCTGTGATATGTTTGTTATCGGCGCTGCCAACTGAAAGAACACTCAGTAAGATCATCCAGTGCAGACCACTCTAACGAGCATTCCAGGCCAGCTTCATGCAACACGGGCTCAGAAGAAGGTCGAAGCGACAAGAGACGGTGAAATACACGTGAACCCGAGGGGTGCGACTCCCTCAGCTTGCAGGTGGAGCCAAAGGTACTGCTCCGTGTTGATCATGTAGCCTGCCTGTCTCTGGTTCTTCACAGGCTCTGGAAAATCTATGAAAATCTGATTCAGATGCTGCAACTTGCCTTGGCAACTTTGGCCAAGTATTTCCAGGCGTTGCCGTTGAGCAGGCACTGGGTGTTAAAACGAATGTTCGCCCAGGCGGTTCACAAGCACGAAATGAGAAACTCGGGCCGCGGGCTTCCCAGCGGTTGAAATAGGATTTGAACCAACGCTTGGGAACCGCAGCATGCCTGTCCTTGCACGTCATAGAAGCGACGTACCGCTTCGATCGCAGGAACAGTGACCGAGAACCGAGCGTTAATGCCTTTCAAGTCATTGAAGTTGTAGAAGCTGTTGTCCTTCCGCAGATCTTCTGAGAACTAACTTGGACCCCCGGGAAGGGCAGACGTAGGGGGCCTTTGGGCCTGCGACGAAAAAAGCCACCAGCAGGCCGTGCCTGGCCCATCGGTATGTACACGTACTTCGGGCTGAGGACCTTCTGGCCCGTCCCTAGACCATTCATGGCATTGCTGCCCTTCGAGCCTCGATCGGTGGATGATAATGCACCCAGACCATCTCGGCCCTGGCAAAGACCTATCAAAGGAACACAAAAGAGGCTGGAGCTCTTGTTTCAGCTTACGGCTGGGGTGCCGACGACCCACTCATATTCCCAACCTCTCTGCTGCCTAGGTTAGCACAGAAATCACGGCGAAGTTGGACTTGCTGCTTCTGGCGTGACCACACTATCCACCATTCAACAAGAAGATACGTCTTTGCTTGTCCTACTGAAGTTGCGATCCAACATCAAGTGGCCAATTCTTTACATGCCTCTGCTGTGGTTGAGCTTTGTGCATCCTGAAATTTTCCAACTTGAATACTGAGCTTTGATCCTGAAACTGTCAGTTAGATTTCTGTGCTGTCGAGGCTGATCAGCACAGGACGTCGGCCACAAATGCACACGCACGGTGCCGCGTCGTCGTGTCAGTGCTGAGAGAGGGCAAGGCGAGCACGGAATCACGAACGGTCGATTCTGGGCCTCGACTTTGCCAAGCCGCCCTAAAAAATGCCGACAGTAGCGTGGATGTCGAGACGATTGTCGTTGTTACCCAGCCTTCTTGTCAACTACTCATGCACAGTCTTCTGTCACAAGATGCTTAGTCCTACAGTCAAGATCCATCGGTATTTGCGGTGAGTTCTGCACTTCATGTACATGTATATACGCTGCTTCTATTTCTTCATACCATAGATAAAGAAGCCGAAACCGAAACCAGATTCTGGTTCTGGATTCCGGTTCTGCTAAAGGCTCTTGGTCTACTGACATATACTGACCAACCCATGCCGCTACTTGTAAGAAACACTTGAGCCGTTCAAAAGTAAGAAACACACAGGGAAGCTTTATTGTGTATTCACCGTTGGTCATATCTTTCTTTCATTAGAAAATCCTGTTTGTCACGGAAACACAAGAAAGCTCCTGAGTCCCCTATCAGTGGCTAGAACTCAACGAGCTCTTACAACCTGCCAATGTGACAAAAGCATACCTTGATGTTTCGGAAAAAACAGTCTCCCTCCACCGTATTCCAAATACGCTCGATCATAAGTAATGTGTGTCTAGCTTCCCCTTTCTAACACGAAGCGAACAGCTACTCGTTTCTTTATCTGATATGGAATCTGGCAATTCCTGTTACAACCAGAGTTGTCGTGTGCTAGCAGCAAGCACAGAAGCAAAGACCAAGAACAGATCACCCTTGCTTCTCTGCATTAAAACTATGGCAGCAAAACCTCTCATGCTTCGTGGGAATTAGGACAACTATATCCCAAAGACATCATTGATCTTCGCTGAGTAAGAAGCCAAGGGCCATTTGGAGCAATTGATTCTGCAAACAAAAAACCAAACTCCTTTGCGCCATACGACCAACAAGACTCAAGAGAGCTGCTACATAGCTCAAAAAGACAGGAAATGTCTCCTCGCGCCTTAGCCTCACAACAACACAGTCAACCCCTCTACATTTCTTAAGGCTTTGGAAAGCTGCAAAACCAAGCGAATTCCGCCACACATTGAGCACAGCTTCTCTCGATGAAGGTGAACAGCAGTATCTGACGACTTTGATGATCTATGCATGTAATACACATTAAATTAGCCCAGCGCGTTGTATCAACTGATACGTAATCAGGAAGCCTTCCCATCTTTATCTAGCAAAAAGAAGCTTTTCTGTCTCTCAGTATGCAGAAGACAGAAAGGAGTCGAGCCTTTTCCAACCATGAGCAGAAACAAGAAAACGTTTTCAGTTGATATAGGAGAATACAATAGCGTACTTTTGTGAGTATAGAATGTGAGTCCTTTGAACTTGTCTCTCTTTGGCAATGAGTGAGGTACTTTAGCTATACCAAGAACTGTTTCAATACAGACAACCATAAGGGCCTCGACAAGCTGGAAAGTTCAACCACATCTATACAACATGGTAGTGTTGCAGCTACTCTTGCTACTAATACTGTTGTTTGCTGTTCATCTTGTTCCAAACTGCTGCGCATCCCTACCGAAGTTCTCGCATCTGAGGTAAACATCGCCAGTCTCGAATTTCCCCAAATGTTGAAAAGCGTGAGATGCGAAAACATCGCCAAGCTCGAATTTCCACAAAGTTCCCGAAATCCTGGCATCTATGGGGAATGCGGGGCCGCAGTTGGAATTTTGGTGGAAATTCGAACCTGGCAAAGTTTTCGCAGTTCCAGCTTTGTTTCTTTGGTGAAATTCGAGCCTGGCGATGTTTTCCGCATCAGAGGTTGCCAAAACGTCGCCAAGCTCGAATTTCCCCAAAGGTTGCGAAAATATCGCCAGGCTGGAAGAATCTCTCGTATGCCCGACTCCAGCTGAGAGGTATCCATCTGCCTTGGGCAGTCGACAACGAGCTTGCCGAGGCGATTCTGGCTTGATTTCAATTGAGCCCAGAAACGAGCTCTCTCCTTGCCTTGAGGGTCCTGGGAGAAGGTGAACCAGGCATTGCCGTGACTCCCCTTTTCCCAGGCGCGAAAAAGCCGGAGAGCAATGGCGCAGCTAGTGAGCTCCGGGAAATCGTCCACATGCCATACCTCCCAGGCCTCGCGAAGGCACACATGTTTCAGCGAGGGTTTGGGGGAATCAGGGGTGTGGGTGAGCTGGCGGGCTTTTTGCGCGCTTGGGTCGAAACCAAGAGGCAAAACCAGAGCGGAGCGCTTTGCGTCCTGGAGGAACTCCTCCCAGTGAATTTCCCCTGGAGTCTCTTCCCAACCGTCGGCCCTAAGCCGTTCCCGAACCACTCCCAAGTCTTCCCGACTCAGCCAGTCCGCAAGTTGGTTCCGATAAGTGCGGATATAAATGGGATGGACCGTGAAGTTGTGCTCACACTCCAAACGCTGGACAAGCCTAATGAGCAGGCTAGCAACCCTATTACCTGGGCGACGCTTGTAGAGCCAACTCCGAACATTGGAGTTATCCGTGACATACAGGACAAGCTCCCCATCCCAGTTTTGCTTTCGATGGCAGGCGAGAACAACGAAGGCGAGCAGTTCCATGATGGAGATAATATCGGCCTCGTCCTCCGCCGAGGCTACCGCTCGCAATGCGTCCTGAAACCTGTCCACCGTGGACGCATGGAAGACCTTGGCCCCCCAATCGACTGCCCCAATCCTATCAAGAGTGGCATCACCTCCTGTGATCCGCGTTCGGGCGGTAGCACCTGGGAGAGCGAGCCTCTCACGGATAGGCAGTAGCTTTTCGAAAACAGAGGCGAAGCTAGACTGCAACGGGGCCTCCAGTTGGAGCCGAATGAAATCCAGAGCGTCCCAAAAGTTTTCCCATCTAAGGGATTCCTCCTGAGGATCACTAGCCTCGACCCTGAGAAGGGTTTGAGCCTTTCCTTTGACCTCTTTTCGACCTTGGCCTTGGAGGTTCCCTTGAAGGAGGCAATACAAAGAAGGGAGATGCGGGGTGACGGCCGGGCAAGCAACTGTCCAGTATTGGGCGCACCCGATGACCTCCTGAAGCAGGCCAAGTGGGACTTCCCTACACCCTCTTTGTAAAGCCGGTTCCCCCAGCAGGTACTTGGCCTTCATTCTCCATCTGATGTTGCTCAAAGTCCATGTGGAGTCCCCATAACAGTTGGGTCGCCGAGGGCTCCCCTTCCTCTGCCATCTTTTCCACATTTACCCCTTCAGGGCCCCAGACCAACTTCATGGTCTCATCGAGCACCGCCAACGAGTCAAAGACTCGAGTGCCGACCAGGGGTTCCACCACCACTCCGTCGTCCATCAACCACTTCGACTCATACGGCACGACGTCGTTGAACCGAGGGTCCTCAGGGCGGAACGACCCATGATGCGCCTTCGCGGCGGCGCTCCAGGCCACAAATTCCCCAGGGGAGCCCACCCATCCGAAGGGCATCGCTAGGCTGAGTATGATCAAGCCTGCCAGACGGACGGCAAACTCTGGAACATCCTGAAGCCAAGAAATGCCACTTGAAAGCGCGTGGCACATCGCGTTTGGCGCACCGCTGAGGGATGCCAGGGTGTCTTGCCCTCCACCACAGAGACTGCCTTGCAACTGCGTGATGCCTGGGTTGGGGAGCGGGGTGGTTGTACTTCGAGCCAGCCTCGTTCTGCCTTCTCATGTCGTTGATGGGCCTGCCCTCCGACGAGATAGTCCTGTCCGGGTTCTGCTTGGGCACTCGTCCTAGCGGGCTCTCGGTCACGCCTGCGATCCGGAACAGTTGTTCGACCACTCCTTCAGCGGGGTCCACCAGCAGAGCTGCGCCGTAGGCTGCGTCCTTCCACGCCTTCTGGAGGAGCTCTTCGATCTTCGTAGCCGTACACGGACCCGTGGTTCTTGGCTTCCTCCCTACGGAGAGGAGCTTCCCTACGGCTCGGCACCCCATTCTCCGCGCTTGGCCGGAGGTACTCCTTAATTATGCAGGGCGGACACGCCTTTGAAAAGGCCTCGTTTCGCACCTTCCAGGTGGTCCCCCAGCTTAGCCGTCCGGGCCGAGTTCAGGTGTTGAGACAAAGGGGCAGAGGTCCCGTCCTGGATCCCGTTCATGCTGATCATGGCGCACCGCGAAAGCTTGAAGTCGAATTGATTTTCCGCAACTGCAAAGTTAGTCTGTGGTGCCAGCTGTTACATGCCTGCCTAGTCGTGCTTAGCACAAACTCTGTACGTGCGGACATGTAATGCTGCATGGCCATCTCGGCCTCACAACTAACTCTCGTGCCATCAAGGCTCCATCATGCAACAACTGTGCCTCATGACCACACGCTTTCATAGACAAGCCTGACAACAGAGGATTCAACACTCCTCCTTGGTCATCTCTTACTTCGAAGAGAATGACCATCACTTTATGCATCAAGTCAGGCTTTTAGTACATTGACTGTCCACTGTGGTTCTGGCACAAATTGCAAAACATCAATCTTCTCGGCTTGTGAACATTACGTAGTCCCCAACAATTACACACTGTGTGAAAGTGGTCTCCATTGCCGGAAACGTATATAGGACCCGGATGCCATTGTGGCACCAAGATCTCCCTCACTCCCACGGGTGCCGAAGGCGGTGGTAACGGATCCGTCTGTGTAGCAACCTCAGCGCTAGTCCGTCTCGTAGATCTTCGCCCACGGCCAATTGTGGATGACATAGACGAACTCGAACTTGTAGATGCCGGAGGTCTCGCTCCGCCCAAAGGCTCTGCAGGAAGCTCGATTTCAGCCATCTGCGCTGCCAACTCACGCTGCACAGTTTCCTGCAGTTGTCGCAATCGGCGGCCTGAGCGAGAACTCTCAGGGTTCCCGCAGCATCGGTACCAACACCACCATACGGCTTCCCAGAGCGCAACCAACGCAATTCCTGCTATCAAGACCACTGCATAGAGCTCGAACGAGGTATCCAACTGCAACGGCTCCAGTGAAGAAGCCCGAGTGGTCTGAACCATCATGCAGAACAGCATAGCTTTCATCATCGCAACCTTAGCAACCTCATGGATCAAATCAACAAATCCCCACAAAGTCACTAACTCCTGCAAGCGCTGTCGAGGAAAGCTCTTGGTCAACAGATCTGCCTTTTGGTCCTTCCCAGGGATGAACCTGATGCAAACCTGATCACTTTCTACCTGTTCATGAACGTAGGCAGCTCGAACTCGCAAATGCCTCGTCCTCCAAGACACATTCGAGGAGGGAGTAGCCAATGCGATCGCCGCCTGATTGTCAACACCCAACACAATCTTCTCGAGGGAGGGATCAAGTTGTTGTAGTACCGCCTGGAGAGATTTCGCCATTGTTAGGGCTTCTATTGATGCCACTAATTCGCACTCTGCAGTCGATAAGCAAACGAATGGTTGCCGGGCAGCACGCCAACTAATTGGGGCATTCATCCATGTGAGTAAGATGCCCGAGTGACTCCTTGCTCCTTCCGGGGCAAAGCTGCTGTCAGAGAACGCGACAAACTCAGTTCCTTCGGGCCTCAAAGTCAAACTCAAACCTTTTGACCTCTGAAGGTATGATAACAGCCTCCGCCCAATCTGCAAACATCGCGGCGCAGCTCGAGTGAGAAGGCTCCCCATAGCACTGACAACAAAGCTCAGGTCTGGTCGCGAGCGCTGAGCCAGCCACAAAAGTTCTCCACATAGACGTTGTGCCTGTTTCACTTGGTCTTCGGTGCCCTTGTCCTCGTTCTCAAAGGCCTCGAAAGTAACCATTTCACGTGGTGCTTGAATCGGGGATTGTTCCGTTGGCTGCACGTTGTGGCTTCTAAGGATCTCCTCGATGTAGGGGCGCTGGTGGATGTAGATCGTGTCCATCTCCTCATTGGTTCCAATCTCACATCCCAAAAACCGAATATCTCGGCCGGGGGCCAAGACTTCAAGCTCTGAAGTCTTCCACAGCTTTCCCACTCCTTCTGCCACTGCCGTCACAAGACTCAACGGACCCGACACCAGGATGTCATCGACATAGAGCAGGATCGTGCCACCGGGCTCTCCATGAAACGGCTTGCCGACTTCGTAGATCATCCACAAGTTGGTCTCCGCTGTTCCTTTCTTCATTGCCCAGAGCCGGCCCTCAACATCCACTTCAAGTTTCCCCAACATCCCATCGCGATAGCCTGCCCAAAGCTTAGGGGATTGTCGGAGACCGTACATGCCGTGGGTCAACTGCCATCTTTCGTTGGGCTGCGCTAAGCCCAGTTGCACCAAAGCAGCTGGAGGCCGCACAATGTATATGACTTGACCGCGACCTTGCGGGAGCGGGGTCAACATAAACGCTCCAGTGACATCAACTATCCCGGACCGCCACTTCCGCCGAGCACTGTAGGTTAGGTTCGACCGAAGGCTCTCAGCGGCAGCACCTGAGGCAAACACGTCAGTCTGATCATCAGGAGCATAGTTGCCGCAGCAAACCACTCTGGCTTTCCTCTTGCAAAATGCATTTTCACCGTCCGCGGGTGCATCACTTGGAGGAGGCTTCACAGTATAAACCAACTTAGACGGCAGCTCCTGAATCACATAGCCATCCCGCCGGAGCTTCGTAACATCGTCATCAGTGACCCTGACGAACCCCTTCTCCACAACGCCAACTTCCTTCGTAATGGCAGGTCGCCACCTTTCAATCGCTGCACGAGCTTCTTGGGGGCTTACGTTGTACGTGTGCCTCAAAGGAACTTTGTCATCGACGGCCTTCTGAATGATCGCCTCCACATTCTCAACATACTCTGGCTCTAACTTCGCCAGCCTTGGTTGATCATACAAACCCAACGACGCCCAATGCTCCACATTGCAAGCCAGATCTTCCTTCAAACTCGCATCAATCTCCTCCTCTGATCATCGAGGACACTCTGAGCGACAGTAAGGGCTTGCAATTCAGGACCTGGATCATCAGAAGCACACACTTTCTTCAAACACCTTTCATCATCACCTCCATCTAGAGGACATTCTGTGTACAACGCCCAATCACACAACGTAGCCTCACACTCTCCAACGGTGACAAAATCCACCTCATCATCATGCCCATGAGCTCCACAACACGGCACTTCAGATGGCAAGGAAGTTGCCCGAAGCTTGGGTCTGGTTTCCCAAGCACCGTCGGCGGACTGAACAACATCCTCTGGATCACACACCGGAAAGTTCAATCCTTTCAGGTACTCCTGATCTTGTTTCTGGAGCTTGCATGCTCCCTGCGGGGTATAGGCGGACAAAAACCACTTCACTCCACCCTCATTGATGTACCCGTGATGAACCATTGGATCAAACACCGCCGGCTTCTGTTTCACGCTCACCAAACAGCCATCATATAGCTGTCCATCTCGACCTTCACACTGATGATCTTTAGCGTTTTCACCGCCCACCACCATTCGTTCGTCACCTTGATCTTGCACCCACAGACCCTCCAATGAGTCCGTATTCAACTCCATCACGTAGTTGTAGGTGCCCTTCTCATTATGACTATCTTTGTGCCGAGGGATCTCCTTAGCTGCCTGCAAGGCAAAGGTCGTCCATGAAAACTGCATCCCTGGCCAATAGTTCTGTATCTTCACCTTCAAGTAGGTGTTGAAGTAGCGAGCCATCCAAGGAAGATCGCGCCCATAGCGAGTGATGCCAAAGGAACCCGCATGCACATAGGCCCCCACAATCATCCCCTCGCCACCAGGTGACCGAGGAACTTTCAAGTTCCCACATGTTCCAGCTACCAAAGCCAGAAGCCGAGCACAACTCGGTTCATCAAACTTTTCTTCCTTATAAAACTGCTCAGCAATAGCTTCCACATATTGAACTTCTCCAACTCGGAGATACTTGGTTTGAGGCATCCCAACATCATTGCCATAGATGTCCACATGCACCTCTTCCAGACTCTCGATATCTGGATAGAAACCATCCACTTTAGAAGCCATAGGCGCCTTTGACCGCATTCTCCTCGGAGGTGGTGGTACATCAGGTGGAGGTAATGGAGGTTCACCAACATCATCTTCATGCGCTTCAGGCTCAACAACTATGGTAGGCGTCACCTCGTCCAAAGACGGTGGGTCACGGGCGACCCGCACGTGAGTGGTCTGAATGAAAGTTCCCGTGGCCTTCAAGATCACATGTCCCCCTCTGATATCCGAGGACGGGCCCACATATCGTCCTTGAGTCCAGTGAGGTCCAAAGTCCTCCACAGCCCCGGTCTTGTACCGCTTGGTCTTCACGTAGACCTTGGCTCCATAGGCCACCGGCATAGGTGGAAGAACTCCAAGTTGGTCACACCTTTGTTGCGCAGCCGCATACTGCACTGCCGTGGGCCAGTTTTCGCGTGTAACACCGGAGCTGTCCAGGAGAATCCTGGCTCTGCGCTTAAGGTAGCGCACTCCCGACTCTGCTACCCCATTGGCCGCTGAATCTGATCCCGAAGTCGTTGTAGGCCATATCCCCTGAGACAAAGCCCATCTCCGAACCAGGTGGCCACGAAACTCACCACCTCTGTCTGAATGTAGTCGGGTGATCGGATATCCAAGCGCCTTCACTTCGGTGATGATCTTCTGGACGGCCGGCAACATTGTAGCCGCCTTCTTGTTGTTCACCGGGACAGCAAAGTACAACGTAGTGGTTGGGATAGGTTCCTTAAAGGTCTTCTTAAGGTCTTCCCAAACCTTTCTCTCCTTCTCCTCCTCAGCTGGATCCACACCCTGAATTTCGCCAACACCACCACCGAAGTCCCCGTCCTCATCATCCGACAGGATAATCTCCTCCTCTTCCGACTCACCACCAGGAAGAGGATGGCCACGAACTTCCGGATGACCTTCGGCTCCCTCAACTTGAGGGATTCTCATAGCACCAATCACAAAGTACTTGAAGAACTTTCCATCTGGAGAACGCCCGTGCCCTTTTAAGGGTCCCACTACGTCCACACTCAGACTATAGGCCATGGGATGCAGCGTCGAACGATGCTGGTGTCCCGTTGCACTGTTCCTGACGCACACTGCACAGTCTCTTCGGAACGGCTGATGATTCCGGGCCACATGCAATCTCCAAGCAGCATCGCTGTTCAACTTGGCCAATCTCACGTAACTATCACCCTTGAACTGGGCGATCGAGGCATCCGCAATGCCCATCTCCTCCAGATACTCTCGCGCGTCCTTGGTGTTGGTCCACGCCGGCCACAATGACGCACCATCACGAATCTCCACCTCCTTGTAGACGAGATCTTCAATCAACAACCTCGTAGCTCCACCGCCTTGCCACGATCGTCCTGCGGAGGCAATCGCATGCATCAAGTGAACTTTACTTCGATGGAGGGCAGCGCTGGCCTCATCCCATCGTCCGTGCCCGCGGTCCCGCGCCACCACGGAACTTATCCTTCCCGTAGTAGCTGCCCACGCCACAACCTTCCAGAGGTCCACAAACTCATTGGCCACCAGCAAAGTGTTCATGTTCACGTAGATGGTCTCTCCAACGAAACTCAAATGCCGTAAAGGGTCTGCTATACGGTCCACGGAAGGCGAGTCCCACCTCACCACCCATGATGAAGACCTGAGAAGGCGTTTCCTAGATCTCCGGTTCAAAGTCAATGCCTTCATCAATTCCCAAATTCCCTGCTTGGGTCTTCTCACAACCATGACATTCTGAAGAATCTCCTTGTAGCCCAGGAAGGATGCCTTCTCCACTGCCTCCCGTCCCGCAGCCACATTGCCATCCTTCACATAGTCCATCATGCAAGACCACCAGCTCGCACGAACCCTCTTGAGCATCCGCGCTGATGCCTCAGTTGACTCCTGGAGGCTGGGAAGATGAGAATCCTCCAATCTGGTAATGAGTTCCTTGGCCACTTCATCATCGACCTCAGGACATCCATTGGTCACAGACAAAGGAAAAACCTCCCCAGCTGGACCTTCCAAACGACAGAACTCTGGCGTCCAGTTGAGGCGGAATCCCAGAGTTGAGATCACTCTTCCCAAGGGCACGATCACTTGCGCCACATCATCGGGGTTAAGCAGGGTGCCCCGGTCGGTTTGCCTCATAGAAGTCACTGCATCACCTGCCAACTTCACCTGAACCGCATTGGCTTTTTCCCACTCCTCTGGGCTAGTAGGTCCACGTAGAATGTGAGTGGACCCCGAATCCATCAAGGCAGCCCTCGATCTCGGAGAAGGCGGAGTCCCTTGTGACCAACGAGACACAGCACTCATCACTGACCGAAACAAAGGTAGGCACGTTACCTGGTCCAGAACCTTCAAGGCTTTGGTCTGGACTGCTTCACCATCAAAGGTCACCCTTCGAGCACTTGCATCCGGTGAAGATGCAGTAGGCGATGTCGACCCAGTCTCACCAGCTCCTTGTGCCCCAGCCTTTGTAGTGGTCGCCCTTGTCGCACCACCGCCAGGGGCTTTGCAGTCCTTGACCTTATGGGACACCGCTCCACAACACAGACACTTCCGAGATCTGGCCCCTTTCTCCAAAAGACTCCACGTGTGAGGAAATCGACATGTGTTCCCCCTTCGACACCCTCGGTCTCCAGCGAAGAACTTGCACACACCACCGTTTGGCCTTGTTGATGGAGTTGAGGTTGACGTGTCGGGTGAAGGTGCCGGGGTAGTGGAGGTAGTTGTTGTGGTGATGGCCTTCAACGACGGCGTCGCTCCTCCTGTGCTCGTAGCCCCCAAACGGGCCTGCTGTTCCATCTCTGCTTGGAGGTGTTGAAGAAACGATGTCACCGTCGAGGCACTCGGACTCACATCCACCTGCAGCGTGCTGCGGATAAGGCTGACGCGGAAGGAAAGCTCACCGCTTCCCTGAATCACCGCATTGGTGATTCTGTCTAAGCCTCGGATCAACACCGAAGCGTCCGGCTCCGCCATGCCAATCGTAGTCGCTCTGGTCCGCCACAAACTCCAGCGCCTCAGTCCTTCTACCGCTTCCAAAGCGGTGTTGCATGGCTGTGGCTGCTCCAACATGCGCAACACCAGTCCTTTTTCTTGAAGATTCCCTGGTTGGTACACAGCATACAACTTGCACAACACGCTAAGGGATGTGACCTTGCCGTAGGCGATGATTTCCTCTCTCACCGACTTCGGAACTGCCGTAAGTAGCATGGCAGTTGCACGCCGTTCCACACGGCTCCATTCAGGCTTCGACAACTCCAAGGAAGGCTGCGGTTCCAACTGAAGTCTTTCAAGGGGAGAGGCAGTACTATATCTGGAGTACCATTGCAGCGCATCCTTCATAGTCGCATGCCACCAAGCCGAACTCGTATCCGAGAGATCCTCCATTATGGGACCAATGTGGGTGATCCAGTGCAACAAGTCGATGGACTCCGTCGCCGGCTCATACTCCGGAAGACCTGGAAGCTCATTGATCCCCGGCTTGACCGCCTCTGGGCGATCACCTTTCCCAGCATGTTGCTGGTTCAAGAGAGCCTCGATGCCCCGAGCCAGCGTCAGAAGAAGCTGGCCATCTCGTTGGTCGTTAACATCACGAGGCTCCTGAGATTGAAGTGGTTGTTGCACAGGGGGTGGTAGAGGAGGTTGTGGTGCATGTTGTGGTGGTCGTGGAACTGCATGACTGCTACCAGACGACAAGCCATAGTCTGCAGACGGCCTATCATCACGAGCTCCCGCGTTCATGCCGAAGAGACCTTGAAAGAACGCCCTTGGACCACTGGGTGACTGTGACCTTCCACGTGCCCTAGCAGCATCACTGAAAAACGACCCACAAGGAGGTTGATCTGCTGGAACTTCTGGTACTCCAGCGCTCAAAGTCTTCCTAAGACTGCCTCCCGGAACCACGCCAAGATCCCCACCAGGTAGTCGAAGACTTCCATCACCTGTGACAGGAGGCTGTAGACGAAGCGGCGCTGGAGGGGGTACAATTTCACCTGGGCATTCTTCAGCTACACCCCGAAGACGTAGAGGCCCTTGAACAGGTACACTAGCATCTACATTCCCTTCATAAGGACCCCGAGGAGGTTGATCTGGTGGAACTTCTGCAAGTACTCCAGGGCTCACCATAGGAAGAGGATGTTCAGGGGCAACCATCACGTACGACGACTGCATGTTCATGCGTGCCTCTTGGATCTCAAGTTGCCTTCTCAGCCTTTGTGCTTCTTGCATTGCCTCTTCAGTCTTCAACTTTTCAACCTGAAGTCGCTGAAGAACTCCACCCATAGCCGCATCCAACTGCTTCGCTACCTCTGCCTGTACAGCCTCAGGAGATATCCCTGCTGAACCGCTACTTGAAGGTGCCCTCGGCTCCTCCTGCGGTAGCATTCTCGTCATAGGGGATGCCGCAGGCGACGACGACGGCCAACCAGCCATCGAACCTGAAGCAGCTTGAGCTGAGGTCCACGATGTAACCTCTACTCTCTTCTGAATATAATCTCCCAAGCGCGAAAACCAGGTTCCTGCCCGATTGTTCGATTGGCTCACATCCGACACTGGAGACTGACCAGGAAGAGGGGACGGCTGAAACCTTGGAAACAGAGGCTCACCATCATGGGTATACATCGGAGCATCATGTGGTTCCATGCTAGGTTCAGCTGCAGGATGCAACAAGGCTTCATGACTTTCACGAGGCATCAACGTCGCACGCTGGTTCTCCATAACGGCACCCTGGTTTCCCTCCATCACGGCTGCACTCGGCTGACATGGGTCACTCGAAGCAGGAGGTACTTGAAGCGGTGCCTGAGAAGCAACAAGGGTTCCCGAGGAGGCCCTGGCAGAAGCTCCATTCAACATAGGAGCGGGATCCATGGAACCTCTCGATACATTCACATCGCGCAGGGGTTCATTTCCAACTCTCGCATAGTTGGGTCCATGGTCTTCACCATCAAGCGTTGGGCTCATACCCTGTTGAGACAAAGGGGCAGAGGTCCCGTCCTGGATCCCGTTCATGCTGATCATGGCGCACCGCGAAAGCTTGAAGTCGAATTGATTTTCCGCAACTGCAAAGTTAGTCTGTGGTGCCAGCTGTTACATGCCTGCCTAGTCGTGCTTAGCACAAACTCTGTACGTGCGGACATGTAATGCTGCATGGCCATCTCGGCCTCACAACTAACTCTCGTGCCATCAAGGCTCCATCATGCAACAACTGTGCCTCATGACCACACGCTTTCATAGACAAGCCTGACAACAGAGGATTCAACATCAGGGCTTCGACCGCTTCCTGTACCGTGCCAGCGGTTATCACCAACTCCGCTCCCAGCCTGCCAGCTTCCATAGCCTTATCGACCGAGAAAGGTGACTGGCAGTGCTCAAGGTACTCAACCGCTTTGGTATAGGAAGCACCTCCCACCCTCTCAACACGTCCTTCGCCAGCTCCCTCTGCGATTTTTGGGACCGCCCCGCCCCCCCCCAGGGAGGGTGGGAGGGAGCAGGCCCCTACAGAAAGGGGGGGTGGTGCAACCAACGAGAGGCTAGGTCCAGTGCTGAAGCGGCCGGCGGGACTCTCATGGTAGTCAGTTGGTGGAACTCTTCCCAGGAGTTTTCCGGGATACCCCACCAAACTGAAGAGGCTGTCAAGTGCTGCACGAAGAGCCGCATCTTAGGTTGATCTCGTACGTCAGCTCTCATCTGGGCGCCTTTAGCGCCCGGAGGAGAAAGCTCCTTGTGGGTTGGGCTGACCAGGTGTTACCGCCCCCTTGAGGGATTGAGCAGCACCGAGTTCATCCCCCTCCCGCAATGCAACTTATTCCCCTGGACCCCGAGGCCCAGGCTGCTACTGTGCATTTGGGAGGGGTTGTGACCCAGGAACCTAGTATTATCACAACTGGCGATCCATGGCTTCCTCACCCTTACGGGCACGTTAAGGGCCCCGGCTTCCCGCCCAAATGTTTGGTGCATCACCCTTCAGGCCCAGCCTGCGCCTTCTTAGGCCCGACGCAGGATTTGAAAGGCCCTGGAGCCACCCTGATCCCGAGTAAGCCAGGAGGAGTACGTCCTCTGAGCCCTAGCGAAATCGCTCGCGCGCAAGGAGTCACCTCCCAAGAGTGGAATACCCTTCTCAAGTCGGAAGGGCCTGCGTCGCAACGTTCGGGAACCAGGCTGGCAGGTTGCTGCAGCTGTGCTAGGATTATGGCAGACACCATCTCTGAAGGTTGGCAACTGCCTGGATCCTGAGGAGGAAGATGCCAAGGCCCAGTTAGAAGTCTGGTTGACCGCCTGGAGCCGCCGCCCGGACTGCTTCCGCGACCTTCTCGACCTGGTTCCATTTGGGTCGTTACCGCCCGGAGTGGAGCCGACTGCATGGAACCAGTCGGAAGACACCCGAGTGGGGGGGCCCATCAAGAAGAAGGCCGATCCGGCCCAGTCCTGCTTGGGGATGAAAGGGAGAAGTTCTTTGGAGTTCACGGGCTGCCTCGGGGCAGCGGTGTCTCTTTCCTGGACCAAGTAGGGCAAGAAGCTGTGCTGAGTAAGCTTGCTGATTCAACCAGGCGCTCGTATAACACGGGCTGGAAGCAGTGGGCGTCGTTTATGTCTGGCACCGGTGTCTCTCCTTTCTTGCAAGGCGAATCACGAGTGGAAAAGCAACAAGACGAGGACTGGCTTATCCGCTTCACGGTTTTCCTGCACCAAGTAATGGGGCGTACCGCCCAGGGCATTAAACAACGGCTATCCGGGATCCGGTATGCCCACATAGCGGCCGGCTATCAAGACCCCCTCGCAGGCCGAGTTCGACTTTGGGCCGCTCTGGCTGGAATGAATCGCTGGGACGGAGCGCCGGTTCGTAAAGTACCCGTGACTCCCGGCATGCTTACTTGGTTGAAACGGTACCTTGACGGGTCGGACCGCCCCTTGGCCGAACGGAAAGCCCTTTGGACATCAATTTGCTTAGGCTGGTTCTTCATGCTGCGAGCCTCGGAGTACCTCCCAGGGTCTGACCTTTGCAACGTGCCCACTCGGGTTCTGCGTGGAAGTGACATTGACTTCTTTTGCAAGGGGCGACGCTGTACTGTGTTCGAAGCTGACTCCCTCGCCGTTCAGCTGAGGGATTCCAAGGGTGACCAGTTCGGAAGAGGGCAGGTTAGACTTCAGCATGCCACTGGCGAGGAGATCTGTCCTGTGAGGGCTTTGCAGGAGCACGCTAAACACAACCCCTTTTGGGTTAACGATGTTAGCCTTCCGGTCTGCGCCTGGCAGGGGATAGGGATCTCGCGTGAAAGCCTCTCTGATCTGTTGAGGTTAGCAGCCGTGGCGTTGGGATACCCAGCTCACCTCGTCGCCTCGCACAGCCTGCGAAAAGGAGGCGCCACCGCCATGCTGGCCGTGACCAATGATGTAGAGGTAGTTAAGAGGTTTGGAGGTTGGAAGTCCGATGCTATCCATGCCTACCTGTACACTGACCTTGCCGCTGCCCCTAGCCGCTCTAAAGACATGTTGGCGTCCCGCCCTGTGCTCCAACCCCAGCAATACTCACACCCTAGCGGACGTGCCGCTCCAGGGACAAGAGCCGGAGGCCCATCTAGTGAAGGTAGCGATACCGATAGCCAGGCTGGAGGCTCCTCCGAGGGTTTCGACGTCAACTGGGAAGCTAGCCAAGCGCATCTTGAGCAGCTTGAAAGGACCACTGGGCTCACTTTTATTCAGAGGGTTAGGCTTCGCAGGCAACTTGAAGCTGGCGGGATTGTCGATCCTCCCCCTTTTTTGTGTCGTTTCGGAGGTACCCCTGAATGGCTCCTCCCGCCTGAAGCCAGCCCTAATAGGACTTCTGTGAGTGCACAGTCTGCTGCTTCGTCTAGTGACCAGCTGCTGATAAATCCTCAGAGACCTGGCTCACGCATGTCTCCGGAGCTGCTTTCTTTGCTCCAGCAAGCGTTCCGCTCTCCCCGGCGCACCGCCTCTCCTTCCACTCGCATCATGGCCGAGGCAGCTCCGCCAACCGGAATGGGGAACCGCCAACTTCGCGAGTGGATACAGGAATGGGGCAGTGCGTGGGATTTCCTCGGCCTCGCCCCCGGCAGCGCCATGAGCGAGGTCCTCCGCGCCTACAAGCGCACGGCGATCCGCCTCCACCCGGACAAAAGTCCGCCTGATGAGGTTGAAATGGCCACTGTGCGCATGCAGGCCCTGGGGAATGCCAAGGAGATCCTCCTCAACCCAAGCCTACGGATTCTGCACGACAATATCCTGGGCGTCGGCGTAGCTGGTGGGACAGCTCCTCCTCCCTCGAGTGCGGCGCCAGATGGAGGCTCAGGCGGCACCGCCCCCCACCATGGTTGGTGGAATCAGGTGGGGAATTTCATAATCAAGGGGTCGGCCGGGAAGTTATTTTTTGGAGTGGGTCGGTATTTTCTGGTTAGGTGTTTTCAATGTTTGAAACTTCTGGAATAGTAACATGGCATTACTGCACGACATTGCTCATCTACACTCTCGTCCGAAAGACCGGAAAAACTTAAAATATATGTCAAATACCTGTCGAATTTCAAGCAAAAGCTGTTTTGGAGCTTGTCGGTAATTTCAGGTCATGTGTCTTAGTGTTTAAAACTTCTGGAATAGTGACATGGCATTACTGCATGGCATTGCTCATCTACACTCTCGTCCGAAATACCCGAAAACCGGAAAATATATATCAAATGCCTGTTGATTTCCAAACAAAAGCGAGTACACAGGCCTACAACTAGCCTACAACTCCCGGCCGCACCAGGCGGTCACGGTGGCGCCCGAGCTCCGGGACTACAATCCCGGGCCCGTGGCGCCGCCCTAAGGTTGGCACCCTCCTGGCTTCCCCCACAGCAGAGCTCCCAAGCACCCTTAGAGCCACCAGGCAAATGCTGCCATTCAAAACAACAAAACAAACGATTCAAAACAACAAAATAAAGGATTCAAAACAACAAAACAAAGGAAACGCTCCATGGCCCCATCGCCCATCACAGGGAATCATCGAATGCAGTGACATCAGGCTTGAAGCAACATTTTTCCCGCGCCCTTCGGATCATGTGATCTTTGTCGGAAGCGTTTGCCAGCTCATTTCACCGGCTGACGATGACGGAGTTCGACAGTCTCAAATCTCAGAGTTTTCTGATACTCAGGCCCACGGCTGATGCTTAGGCTCACGGCTTAATTAAGTTGGTCTGCTCTACACAAGCCGAACTCGCTTGGGAGGATGTTCAGGATGTACAATCTCCTCAGGCTCCACAAGTGCCTGTGCCGCCACAGGCTCCGTCACAGGTGGCGCAGGCGAAGCAGTCGACTTGAAAAACGAGTGTATGGGTCTGTTGGCTTTGCTCTCCTTGAACAGACTCAAAAGCTTGTCTACGACAACGCTCTTTGATGCCGTCCGCATCGTCTTCTTGGTAGCCTCGTCGATCGACCATTTGTCAAACTCAAGCCTGAGCTGTGCCACCTTCATGTTGTTCAAGCGCCGCTTCTCTGCGGCCTCCGCAGCCGCAGCGTCCCCGCAGCCCACAGCCAGGTTGTTCTGGTCATCCTGTTGGCATTGGCAGTTGTTGTGACCTACTAGTCACTGCAAGACAAAATGACAAAAAAAAACATGTTCCTCGTTCGTGATCTCAGGAATCTCAGGAACCGTCGACGCCACCGATGTAGCCTGCGACTGCCTCTGCTTCTTCAGCGCTTGTTCGGGCGGCTCCTGGGATCTGGGATTCGCAGTTTGGCACAGATTCATTCAATTTCACTCGCATATACGTCTTGGGCATTTCTGCAGGGGGATTGCCTGCTCCTGCTCTTCACTGCCATCCGTTGCACGATCGTTGTTGCCATCCTGTTGGCATCGGCAGCTGCTGCAATCAAACAGCTATACATCTATACACGACTCCCTAGCCTAGACGTTCAGGTCCTGCGCAGGTGCATTGTCCGAAGCTTTCGGTTCATTCTCCGCGGCATCATGTTGGGCTGCCGGTCTCGGAATCTGAATCTTGCCATCCTGTTGACAGCAGCAACTCTCACAACAGCCAAAAGCTACATACGCATGTATACAATTACAAGACCGCAAACTTCGACTAACTCGACGCTCGAGCCCGCTCGAGTCCTCCACAGCCTCCGCACTACCGGAAGCTTTCGCACCCGCAGCCAGGCCCAGGTCGTTCTGGTCATCCTGTTGGCATTGGCAGTTGTTGTGACCTACAATTGCCCACAATGTATGACTAATATCACACTAGTCACTGCAATACAAAAAGTAATGCTCCTTCTTCGTGATCTCAGGCTCCGGAATCTCAGGAACCGTTGAAGCCACCGGTGTAGCCTGCGACTGCGACTGCCTTTGCTTCTTCAGCACAGGTTCGGGCGGCTCCTGGCAGGGATCTGGGATTCGCAGTTTGGCACAGTTCCATTCAATTTCACTCGTACATACGTCTTGGGCATTTCTGCAGGGGGATTGCCTGCGCTTCGCCACCATCGGTTGCATGATCAATGATGCCATCCTGATGGCATCGGCAGCTGCTGCAATCAAACAGCTATACATCTATACACGACTCCCTAGACGTTCAGGTCCTGCGCAGGTGCCGCAGGTGCACTGTCCGAAGCATTCGGTTCATTCTCGGCATCATGTTGGGCTGCCGGCGGTGTCTGAATCGTCTGAATCTTGCCATCCTGTTACATTTGACATCAGCAACTATCTCAACTCAACAGCCAAAAGCTACATACGCATGTATACAATTACAAGACTGCAAACTTCGACTAACTCGATGCTCGAGTCCTCCGCAGCCTCCGTACCGTCGGAAGCTTTCAATACCGTCTCGGCATCAAGTCGGGCTGCCGGTGTCTGAATCGTCTGAATCTCGCAATCCTGTTGACTATCTAAACAGCCAAAAAGCTACATACGCATGTGTACAAGACTGCAAACTTCGACTAACTCCACACTCGAGTCCTCCGCAGCCTCCGTATTGTCGGAAGCTTTCGAAACTTTCGGCACCTTCTCGATCTCGGCATCAAGTCGGGCCTCCGGTGCCTGAATCTTGCAATCCTGTTGACTATCTAAACAGCCCAAAAGCTACATACGCATGTATACAAGACCGCAAACTTCGACTAACCCGACCCTCGCGACCTGCGCAGCCTCCGCACTGTCGGAAGCTTTCGGTTCATTCTGGACCGTCTCGGCATCAGGTTGGGCTGCCAGTAGAAGGTCAATCGTCTTATCCTGTTGCAAAAACGTAAGTTATCGCCCATTCAGGTGTCGTTGCAAAAGCACATCAGAGGCAACACCGGATGCAAGTTTACAAAAGATGTTCACTCACCGTTGTCTCCTGGATCGCTGCCTGCTCGGCCTGCTTGTTGTCGTCATCCTATTGGCATTAGCGGTTGGTTCGGCAGATCGACACAACCATGGATCGACACAACCATGAAACATGGAGCACACACATTCACTGATTCAATGGTCACTGCAACGTTAGACAGTAAACTCATGACTGATACGATCATGTCCTTGGCATTGGCATTGGCAGTCTCGCGAATGTCGGAAGCTTCTGGTCCATTCTCATTCTCGGCAGTGCCACCTCGAACAATGCCGGCAATGCCATCCTGCTGGCATCAACAGCATCAGTGCAACATCAGCAGGCGGTTTGGCAAAGAAGCAACATGCATCACGCATTCTTGCGCACATCAGCACTGAATCAACATACACACGCACACACACACAGACACAGAGTCACACACAAAAAGCACCGTCCACCTGGATCGCGACCGACGCGGATGCAGGTACAGACATCTTGTCGTTGTTGTCATTGTCATCCTGTTGGCTGGCAGGCACTGGCAGGGTTTAGGGTTTTCTGGTTTACACACGGGTGGTATGCCCGTCTCTCGTTATCCAGATCATTGCAGCAAGCTGCACAAGAGGTCCCCACCTGCGCATGTTTATCGCTCGCCACATCCACCGGCATCTCTGTGGGTGCGTTCTGGTCCTGGTCACTTGCTGCGACTGCGACACAACATGAAGCAGATGAACATATTCGCTTGGGGAGTCACAGCAGGCTGCAACTGCAACATAACACAAAAATCATCCACCGGAAAAGCCATCGATGCATGATTGGCATCGGTCCTCATGCTCATGCTCGTCGATCACCTATGGCAACGGTCGGTGATCATGCTTCACATGGAACAACTTAACTCAACTCAGACCGAGAGCCAGAGCCTCATCATCGTCCGGTTTATTCTCCCGGCGGGGAGATGCTGCAGATGCACGCTCCTGTATCAACGGCATTTCAAAAAGAATAACTCAGCACTGAGCACCACTGAGCACCCCGTGCGAACCACCTCAGCATCTGGCCTCGGCCTCCTCAGCAGCCTCAGCATCCGTACACTAGCTAGCGTATCCTCCCGCCACCTCCCTCTACACCTCCGGGGAGTACGTAGCAAGCCTAGCTTAAGCTAACTGGCTTCACGCAGTAGCACGGACAACACGAACTTCTCTCTTTTTAGCGTTGTGGCGAAGTCCCGCGTTAGCCCGGAGAAGAACTCTAGCCTTTGGCTAGCTAATCTCCAGGGTGGGTTGGGTGGGCACTCGAAATTTGCCCCCCAATAGCTGGGGGCCTTTCAGCACAATGGCCACGGCGTAGCACTGCTTCACCGGCCATGTGCAGTCACTCTAGCAAACAGACAAGCTTCGTTCTGTTTAGCTTCAGAGGAAAACCACTTCGACGTTTTCTAGCGAAACACCTTCGATGTTTCCCAAAGGGATACTAGCGCTAGCATACACTGTCGTACCTCGTCCCTCGGCACGAGTGCGTACACTAGCTAGCGGATCCTCCCGCCACCTCCCTCTACACCTCCGGGGAGTACGTAGCAAGCCTAGCTTAAGCTAGCTGGCTTCACGCAGTAGCACGGACAACACGAACTTCTCTCTTTTTAGCGTTGTGGCGAAGTCCCGCGTTAGCCCGGAGAAGAACTCTAGCCTTCGGCTAGCTAATCTCCTTGCGCAGCCGTAGGGCTACCAGGGACCCAGCTTACGGGCCTTCTTAGCGAACCTTGGAGCCTTCGGCTCTCCGGTCCTTTTCCTCACTCCTAGCTCTTGGAAGTAGCTAGCCGAGTGTTCGAGGAGACGGCCCAGCACGCGCCACTCTAGCTTTTCCCCTCCAGGTTCACCCTGAAGTCCGGGGAGAAACTAGCGAAGTTCTCGTTCGTGAGGTCGTCCGCTAGCTGGTTCAGATCCCTGCGGATCCACTGTAGCTGAAGCTCACAGTTCTTAGCGGAGAGTTCCTCTGCTAGCTCCATCAACACCAAGGTCGATGGGAACTTCGTCGTCATAGCTTTCTTCAGTAGCGCCTCGTTGGACTGGTTGTCGGTGTAGCCACGGATGGCCACCTTCGAGGTCTTCTTAGCGTCCCCTTCCGGGACCCAGAGCCTCACACCAACCAGAGTAGCCAGTAGCTCCAGCGCGGCTATGACCTTGTTCGGATCCCCTTTAGCGAAGGCCCAGGGGGCCCATTCCTTCTTAACCTCTAGCGAGAACCAGGGACCGTGGCAGCCGTCCACTAGCTCGAGGAAGCCCCCAATCCATGCACGTCCATTCTCGGCTTTAGCGTCGGTGTAAAAGGAGAGCGGGGCCGCACCGTCCAATAGCGAGGCCGGCTTCTGGAGACGGCCTCCTGCTTCCAGGCGATCTGCTAGCCAACCACAGAGGACCCGGATCATCGTGGGTAGCGTGAGGAGCCCCAGTTTTTCTGCCGAGGACCAGGCGCCCAGAAAGGGGCGCTCCCAGTCTAGCGCCATGGAAGCGAACCCCAGGCGCCCTAGCCCCTGTGCGAAGGGTCG